CGGTTTCACCTCTACGACACAAAGTATGCACGAGATTTTCCGCCCGAGTCTAGTGTTAACCTCCCAACGCGCAATCAGAAGAGAGAAAATGACTGCGATCACCCCCAAGCGGAACTGGCTGATGCCGTGCCTTACAAGGATCCGCCGTCGTGGTCGACGGAATCTGACAGACGAAAGGTTATCGCTTGAGTTAGGAGAAGGGTTAGGGTTAGGCTAGGGTTGAGCTTGGGTTAGGTGGTGGTTCCTTGGTCATTTTCGGTTAACCTTTCCAAAACGAAAATGAGCGGTTCGCCGGCGTGGCAGCATGTGGTACGTTCGACAGATATCTCGACCACCCACCGGATGACCATTGCCGGTGAGCACAGTAAGCCGAATGTGGGCTCACGCAGTTTGGTGGGCATCGAAACTCCGACAGTTTCACCCGCTAAATGTCAATACCAGTAGTTACGAGGTAGGTACTCTCGCAGGTCAAATCTTATTCTGTACACACACACACACACACACAGACTATACAAGGCACAATGTTCAAAAAGGAGACAAGTCATAAGGCGTTGAGGAGCGGACTTCGCCCGACTCCCGACCACAAGACCCGCCGCAAGGGCAAAATTTTAGACATGAAGCAAAAAGGTCCGTTCGAAAGCGTCTCTATATGCTTCGACTCTTCAGTTCTCAGCAGCAGCGGCAGCCATCTTCATCTTCTTCTCGCGCACATCACGAGCATGCTCGTCATGGGCGTGAAGGCGCTCGAGCACGTCGCGTTCGATTTCCTGGCGGCGTTGCTCAGCGGCTGCGAGCTTGTTAATAACGTCGGTGGTGGTGCGAGGGAGCATTGGAGATGGTGGGCTGATTGATACAGACAGTAATAGGGTGTGCATGGGGGGTCAGCGTCATGATGAAGGCTAGGCATGAGATCCGTAGTACATACCCACTCCTCCTCCTCTCGACAACCTCCAAATGAGAGGAAAGCCTTTCCTTGCGATCGCGTTCAGCAGCATCACGAAGCTCCTGAGCGGTCTCCAGCTTCTTGTTGATCGCCTGAGCGACTTCCTGGGCTTCCTGAGCGGTTCCTTGTTTGTTCGTTGCCGCAATTTCCTTTGCGTGGTTGACCATCTGAGCAGCCTTCAAGGCCTTTTGACGCAAGTGTTGCTGTGGGAATGTGGACATGGTCAGAATCCGCTTGGAAAACGCGTCACAACTCCCTAACGCGTAGGAGCATACATTCTTCCTCTCCTCTGCTTCGTCGAGCTTCATTTGCAACTCCTTGGCACTAAAAGTGGGTTTGGTAAGAAGAGGTCGTACTTCTATATATATAGTAATCGATGTTCCTCCGTGAGAATGTTCCCACGGGACTTACCTGGGACGGCCTTCATCGCTCGAACTCTTCCTCCTAGCAGCAAGATGAGGGGAAGCGATGGTAACAGGGGAAGGGAACTCCTCGAGGGGTACGACCGTGATGGGAGCGGTGGCGTCACTGTTTTTCACGGCAGGCGGGGTGAGAGTGATGCCGAAGGCGACGGAGGTGGTCTTTTTCGCGGAAGCCATTCTGGAGAGGAAGTCTGCGCGCGTGGGAGAGATGTAATGAGTAACTTCAGAGGATGAGAACATAACGGCCGCCAGTGTGTGAACGAAACTAACAGGAAGACAGAGACAGCTGTTGTTTTTATATGAGTCGGTGAATGGCTTGGCCCGGAAGTAAGCGTGGGAATGGCTTGCGGAAATGAGTTTGCTCGAGGAGGGCCAAGATCAGGACGAAGGACAAAACGCGTGCATGCAGTGAGAATGAGTCCGTTTTTCACGCGTTCGCCAGAGAGGTTGAAAACCCTTGTTTTTTTTTGGGGATAAACACAGACAAAGTGCAGCAGGAGGATGATATCTTTTGCCAGCCCAGGCTTCAAAGATCATGCCCATACGGACCTCGGTCGTTCATAGTCGAAAGCATGGGAGGCCAGCCAGTTACGATGGGGGACGCTTGGCCGCGCAGAAGGCTTTACTGAAGGTGAAGTCGGAGAGCGTATAGGGCAGCGAGAGGGTGAGAGGAGACGCTCCGTTTTGAACCCTCTCATTTCGAGAGGGTTGTCGCTCATCAACCAGATTGTGACCTGGTATAGACTTGGTGGAGGCATATGGACGGCGTAAAATAGACGGTGTCCATGGAAGCATCGAGGAACGAGGTTTTCGAAAGATAATGAGGTGTATATTTTTGACTGGCACACTGCCGAGTGATTTAAAGGAAAACACAACTTTCTACATGACAAGACTCCGGAACAATCTTAAAACCAAAAACCATTACAGAGGTTCCAATAAAACCAAGATATGTCCATTAAATCGCAACAGAGCCCGTTCACTTGGCAAAGAGGTACCTCGCCTCATAAGGCACCTTCTGCACCTTCCCATGTGTCTCCTGCACACACTCGTCGATCGCAGGCGCAACACCGCCCTGTGTATACGTCCTGACGACATACCCCACCTGGCTCATCGTGCCTGACTCGGACCCCGACGTGCGGATGGTCACCAGCCAGGGGATGTCGGGGCTGGTGGCGGTGGAGGGCGCTGCTGGGGCGGAGGGTTGCGACCATTTGGAACCGCTGTGGGAGGAGGGAGCGGAGGTCGAGGACCACCAGTCGCCGGTGATGCTGCTGGGTGGGGGGATCTTCAGGACTGACTTGGTGCCGATGTAAGAGTCGTCGGAGTACAGGTGCCAGTATGGAGATGCTACAAGCGTGAGGGAGTGCATACATTAGTCTGTGCGTAATGAGATATGAGATCTGACCGAGTCGAGACCAACTTACCATCAACGAAGTAATGCTTTCCAACCTTCTGCCCATATGAGTCGACCAACACGGCCTCAGCCGCGTACAGCGACCACTTCTTCGCGTAGGCATCGCAGATGTAGTTCTGCGTTCCTTCCGTCGTGCTCAAGTCCAGGATGGCGTCGGGCGCGGCAGGAACGAGCTTGGGCCATTGGTTCTGGTTTTGGTTGTCGTTTCGCGTGGATGTGGGCTCCCAATCGCGGCCTCTCGGAAGGGCGGCTGCGCTGCTGATGAAGGCGGCGGCGACCACTGCGAAGGATGTGAGCTTGAGCATGGTGGGTTTGTAATATAAAGTGATATGAGGTTATAAAGGTTCCGGGGTCGCAGGCAGATGTGAATGTGAGGCTGATGGTGTTCAGAAACCGATGGCTTCACCGACTGTCTTTTATAACAGTCTCGCCTCATCCACGGAAAGAGGCAAAGAGGGACACGACGTATGCCTCCCGTCACCTCTCTCACACCGCATGCATCACTCACATCACATCACACCACACCCCCACCTGACGCGCTGACAGAGCGACGTGAACAGCGTCCTTCTAAAACCGACGCGGGACTTAAACACATAAACGGTGAAAAGAGCGGTCAGCGCGGTCGGGGCTTGGCCCATTTTTTCCTTCAGGTAACATAGTTATGCTTGATTTCGGCATCAAGGCTCCGTACGTGTACAGTACAGTACGTTCGACTGAGAGGTGGCTCGGCCGGGGCCTTTCCGTGGCTGCTCGGGCTCTCCACAGAACACGCCCGGTCGCAAATCGCACAACACCAGTGCTTATGTCAGCCAGATTTAGAACTTTCGACGCGTAATTTCGAATTTGCAGGCAAAAGCAACCACGCGCCGTTGCGGCGGTTGCGGTAACGCTGCGGACGGCCTGAGCGTGGAGGGCGAGGCTGGTCGTTTGCGGCACTTCCGAGGTAAGAATCAACTTCACTCGCAAAATGGCCGTTGACATATGGGTCATCGGAGCCCTGCAGCCTCCGTCCGCGGTTGCGGCGGTGTTCCTCAGCGTCAAGGGTAGACACCGCCAGGGATGCGAGGAATAGCTATATCGATTCTCACCTTCCCACAGGTCGATGATGGGCGTTAGGTGTTCAATGAGTGTGTGGCAACGTACAGCACCGTGAAGTCCGCTTCTGGCCGCACGGCGCACATTGGATACCGGCAATTTGTCGAGTGTACAGTCGGGCTAGCAGCCTGTCCTCGATGCGGGCGTCGGAAATCAACAGCAGATTGCACATTGTCAGTCCTCGTCGACGACGAGAGATCATGGCGTGGGGGGAGGGCCTAACCCAGGTGTCACCGTTCAAGCGAACTGCTCCTGAAATGTGCGATTTTCTCTATGCTCACTTCTAGCGGAATCTGTCGACGGGATATGCCATTGGTCATCGGCTCTTGCGTATGGTCTCGGCGTGTGATCTCGGCGTGTGACGCAGCTCATATGAAATGTGTGTTTTCCAAATTTTCGATTGATTTTTTTCGGCCCCACGGCCACAGGCAGCTGGTCACCGTGCTGTGCACAACGAGATTCATGTCGGTAGGCTCATTAATTGATGAGCACCGGCATCAAAAACTCAAATGGCCTGTGATCATGGGAAAGTGGCACGAGCGCCGCACAGATAGCGTGCCTATGTTTTCGATAGGTCCGCTCGGAGTGTGGATCTTCGCTCTACATATATGTAGGGGCTGTGGGAGAGGCATTCCTAGTTCCTAGTTCTCGAGGTTTCCAAATCCAATGACCTGCTAATAAACATTTGGAGGTGAGCATCGCTCCCAAGTCCTAATCAAGCTGCCCGCGGCCTCGCAGATGGCCAGTGTTCAAGTGTATGTGTTGTGTGACTTGTGTCTGTGATTGCGAGGCAGCCGATCAAGTCTGTGCAAAAATGCCACTTTTGGACCATTTTTTTCATCTTTGCCATACAACTCGCGTGGCCATGGGACGCCCGTTGTAACCCCACTGCTGTCAACAGTGGGCTTTGAAATACCAAACATACTGGCCCTGGGGACATGGGCGCTATCGGCGAAAATTCGCCCGTCTCGCCGGCCAGCGATCAACTTTCCGGCAGAAACGATGGTCGATAAGCAAATCACGTCGGTGGTTGTACTGGCGCCTCCTCGTGCGCAAGTTCGTTAGCGATGCGGCCAATGATGAAGCAGCTACAAAAGGACGTAGCAGGTCCAGACCCCCTCGAGTGCTGGTCAGCGACCTTCTTCTCTATACCGTAGACCGTCCTCTTCCACCATGAAGCTCACCGCTACCGTTGCCCTCGCGGCTTTCGCGCTGTCGAGCGTCGCCGCTCTCCCCTCTGACCCTTTGGTCGCCACGTCCATTGCTGGCAAGAACGTGGCCCAGATTGCTCAGACTTTCGCCAAGAACCCGGCGCTCATCAAGCCTGCGGGCAAGATCGTCCCAGGTCTTTACCACTACGAGATTGAGATTGGTATGTGTCGGTCGCTGCCTGTCGCACTTGAAATGTCGACTTGGGGATCTGGGATGTGCTCATGACTAACGCGTTTTGCCTCTTTGTGGCTTCTTTCCCTGCTGCAGGCAAGGTCACCGACAACGACAAGCACCTCCAAGCCGCCGCTGCGTCCTTCGGTGTGAAGCCTGACCAGATCAAGGTCACCAATGTCATCAAGAACAAGCTCTACCAGGGTGCCACTTTCAAGATCTCCGCCGACCACGACCCCGAAGTCGTCCTGAAGGCCGCCATTCCCGGCGCAAAGCAGATCTGGCCGGTCCGATCTTACCCCCGCCCCAAGCCCGTCTCCATCCAGAAGCCCGTCGCTGGCCAGACCACCCCCCCAGGTTTCACCAGCATCGAGACCGGTGTGCAAGCCGCGCACGATGCCGGACACTTCGGTAAAGGCGTAACCGTCGCCGTTATCGATACCGGCGTGTACTACAAGCACCCCGCCCTCGGTGGAGGCTATGGGCCCGGATTCAAGATCAAGGGTGGTTACGATTTGGTCGGTGATGCCTACAACGGTGTGACAGACGTTACTCTTCGGCCCGACAACGACCCTATGGACAACTGCTCTGATTCCTCTCACGGAACCCACACCACCGGTATCATTGGTGCTGACACCCGTGGCATCAAGGACCCCGCCTTCCGCCCCTTGGTCGACTGGGTCGGTGTTGCCCCTCAAGCGGATCTACTTCACTACAGGGTTTTCGGTTGCGATGGATCCGTCGGTGACGATGTGTTGACCGCCGCTGTCTACAAAGCCTTCGAGGATGGAGCGGATGTCATCTCCATGTCCATTGGAGGTCCCGGTGACTACGCCGACACACCCTTCGCCACCGCCGTCTCCCGTGTCGCCAAGGCCGGAACCTACACTGTCGGATCCGCAGGAAACAATGGCGGTGAAGGCTTCGGTGTGACCGGATCCACTGCTATGGCTCGCGACCTGATTGCTGTTGCTTCCTTCGACTCTCGCCGCCAGGTGGAGAACATCCTGCTGGACTCTACCGGCAAGGAGTACGGCTTCGGCTACAGCGAGAAGGGACCGGCTTTCAACAAGACCCTGCACTCTGTCTTGGTCCTGAACAACCCCGCTTACCCCGCAAATGACGGATGCACCCCCGCCACCACGAATGCCGCTGCCATCAAGGGGAAGATCGCCATGTTCTCCTTCAACGTCGGCCCGGAGGGTTGCGGCTCCGCCGCGCGTTGTGGCAACGCTGCCAAGGCTGGTGCCATCGGATGCATTTTGCAAAACACCGAGGGCAGCTCCACCGCTGCCACAGGAAACGATGCCATCACCGGCGCCGTTGTCGACTTCCCCACTGGTGAGGCCATCAAGGCGGCCATCAAGGCGAACCCCAACCTCATTTTCAGCCTCGGAGGTACCAAGGACTTCCCCCAAGCCACCGCTGGAACTCCATCGTCCTTCACATCCCTCGGCATGTCCGCCGATCTCTTCATCACCCCAACCATTGCTGCCATCGGTGGTCACGTTTACTCTACGGGCTCCCCGCACGCGGCCGCGATTGCCAAGGCCCCGACCCCCTACCTCGACATGAGCGGGACCAGTATGTCATGCCCGCAGCTAGCTGGTATTGCTGCCTTGTACATCGAAGCCAAGGGCAGGGACTGGGTCCTCGCCAACGGTGGTCTCGACAGGCTTCGCCGCACGCTCGTCGCCACTGCTAAGCCCGGAAAGATCTTCAATACCGACCTTTTGTCCATGGTCTTCGAGCAGGGAGCAGGTGAGTTAATAACGGGCTTTCATTAAGTTTTACCTGCTCTACCCGGTCCATACCCTTTTTCTAACCTCACGCGTCATTTTATTAGGTCTCGCGAACGCCTACGCTGCTATCACCGCCTCCTCCACAGTCAAGCCCTGGGCATTTCAAATGAACGATACGACGGTCGGGAAGCAGGACCAAGTTCTATCTATCTACAACAAAGGGAACAAGCCTGTCACCTACAAGCTCAAGCACTCCCCTGCCGCCCTTGCCTACGGAAAGGACCAAGCCGGTCCCGTCCAGCTTTTGCCCGTCCCCAAGTACACCGCTGAGTACGCTAAGGTTACCTTCTCAAAATCGGAGGTTACTGTCCCCGCCTGGGGTAGCGTCAATGTCGATGTGAAGATTGTGGCGCCTAAGGTCAACGCTGACCTGATCCCCGCCTACTCTGGCTACATCAACGTCGTTGCCAACAACAACCAAACTTTCTCCGTCCCATACGCTGGTCTTGTGGGTAGCTGGAAGAAGGCCCCCATCTTTGTTCGTGAGAACTCCACCTACGTCACCGGTATCTTCGACGCCGACGGCAACCAGATCACCGAGGACCGCACCAAGATCTCCCCCCAGACCACCCCCATCGTCGTTCAGAACGTCCTCTCCACCTCCTCCCGTCTTGTTTACATCGATGTCGTCGACGCTACCGAGACTCTCCCCGGCTACCGCCCCTCCCTCGGTCTCCTGGTCATCCCGTCCGCCTCCGGAGTCGGCTTCTCCTCCTGGACCAATCACTTCCGTAACTACGGTACGGGAGCCACGGACCCCGTTGCCGACCAGCTGACGTGGACTGGTTACACCTCTCCTGACAGCAAGAACTTCATCGCTCTTGCCGATGGAGACTACCAGCTGCGATTCACCGCCCTCAAGCACTTTGGTGATTTCAACAAGCCCGAGGACTACGAAGTCTTCCTCACCCCTGTTGTCACCATCGAGAACGCCACTGGCAACAGCACCACCCCCGCGCCTTCCACCAATGGTACCACCGCACACCACACCAGTGGCTCCGTGAAGACCGTGCCCCACAAGCCCGGCAAGCAAGCTTAAACGCTGGTCGTTGGCCCTCGTCCTGGACTTTTATATACCTGATACATTCGGTGTAGGCCCTGATAGTAGAAAGATATAGAAAGACGCTTAATATATCGTAGATCACGTCATATTTCCAGACACAATCAATATCTTTATCGTGCATCAAAACAACTTGATCTGATAGGGACAAGCTTTCGCGAGGAGGCCGACCTGTACGATATGGTCGTTACGTCCCTCAAGTTTTCATACGGTTGTTTGCCACGCAACATGTCTCCTTAACCTCGCGGATACTCGGCCACATATTCGGACATGTACTGTATGTACGCTTGTGCTGTTCATGCTGCTGTGTACACTTCCGTCTTCTTCTTTACTATCCTGAGATCCGCTCCAAGGGTCATATGAAGTACACTTTCCTTTCATACCGCCGCACATGCACCACCTCTCGGCTGTTTGATTCTCCCTCGAACATTGGATCCACGTACAATTCCTGTACCTTATCGACGCACGATTTCCCCTGTTCGTTAATAGGACTGGCAGGACCAGGGCCGAGGTGTATGTTCCTATCCACATCGACATACAACGTTCATCAATCTTCTTCCGTTGTTCTCTTCTCAGATTCGCAGCACGACTCGGACCTGAGGTGCGTCTCCTCCTTCAGCGCCCGAAACAAAGACTGTCGGGATATATCGGTACGCCACCATCTGAGAAGCCTTACATGGGTCCAAGAGTACAGGAGCCCAAGCGAGGTTTGCAACGCGGCACGGGAACTTTGGTCCCAAACCCAAGCCGCAATATGACGAATGCGAGAATGTTCAAACCCCGGCAGGTGCGAGCGGATACCTGTCATGGGGTGTGTGATATGATCAGCGAGAGGGCTACCAACCTGGATCTGGGCGTAGCGAGAGCAAAACGGCTGGATGTCCGGCCTCGACTTGCATGAAGCGTACAACGGGTATTGCGGCAATGAGGCGATATCGTGGGCGATTCTGGCGATGGTGTTGCGTGCAACCTTTGGCTTTCTCTGAGATGGTCTGAATTTGGAATATCTGCTTCTTTGGGATTATCTGAGATTCCGCTCTAGTCGACATCCGGATCTTTCGTCTGGGAAACGAGATCAATGGAAAATATTTTTGGGTGTGACAGCAGGTGTCAAAGGCGTAATCCAGTTGTGGCTTTTGCACGTGGCATGCCTCCGCGCCAACTCCGCCTTTACGTAATCAGACATGCACAAATGCATCATGTGCCGACGGCTCGGATCTCGGCAACCAATGAAGCCGCCATCACATTTTGCCTTCTCTCGTCTCCCGGCTCTCTGGCGGCCGCGTTGCGATGATGATGATGATTGATGACCTTGGGGATGTGCGTCTCCGTGGCTACGCAAGGCGCTTGGGGGGGGGTCCACTGCAATTGAATAGAAAAAAACACCCCACCACCACCACGAGCACACCCACCCACTGGCAAGGCTTTTTTATATTCGAGACGCCTGTCCGAATACTGCATTTCCCACGGGCTCCTGCTAGTATCCTTCTCTCGCTCGCATACCACCAACCACCAACCCCCCCCCCCCCCCCCCCCCCCCCCCCGTTGGCAAACCCTGGACTTAAACCTGGGAGCATTCACTTTTTTGGACTTAGTATAGGAGGACTTCTAGTATCCTCACTCTCAGTAGTATCAACCACATTCCTGCACAACACAGGGGATGCGTAGCTAGTTGGAATCACACAGGCGCTCAAACCTCCCCCCAGCCAGCCCTCCGTCCTCTGTCCTCCCCTTTTTGGCTTTTTGTGTTTTGTTTTATTCTCTCTGCGCAGGGCTTTGCCGCTTCCAATTTTGCAACCGGACCCATTCTTTCAGAACGGATCCCTCAACCACCTTCGTGGGAGAACAGTATAACTGCATCGTCGGTCAGCGTTTCGCCGCACACTCTTCGTGTCGCATACACGGCCACCTACACTCGAACGACCAATGCTGCTGGGAAACGGAAACCCTGGCGTTCTCCAGCCACCGATTCAAGCCTTTCGTGGCCCGCCCGGCTCAGACGGTGCAGACTTGAAAGGTGATCGAGGCATCGAGCAAGGTTACTTTCCGGACGCCTACATGCAGTCGTTCCCTGGAAATGTGGACCGTGGGAAGCCTGCGAACATGTGGAGCTCGGTGAGTATTCTAAGCCGGGCGAGTTCGTTGTTGTGGGAGGGGCCGTGAAACAGGAGCGTTCTTTGCTGAAGCTGGAAGTTGTTTCATTTCAGGAACGAGGACACCCCGGCCAAGTCTATGACGATCGGAGCGAGGACTACAGGCAACGACCTCGAGAATATGAGGATGTTCACCAGAGCCCACCACGATTGCAAGGATTCGTTGGGTCCTTCCATCCCCCGACCCCGGCTCGTTCTCCGTACCCACGACTGAAGCCGGCTTACAGCAATTCCAACGGAGGAGACCCCTCTTTCTCGGCCCAAGCTGACCATCCAGCCGCTTTGTCATTGTTCCCACGAAGTACGTGCAAACTCTTGGACTTGGTGACCTGTTCTACGCACTAATCCGAAACAAACTATTTCTGCAAATCTTTAGTCGTGACTCCCCCCCTCTCACCGCTGTCCACGGAGCGCGCCACACGGTACTTGAACAATATCTCCCACATGCGCTCCCGCATGGCAGAGCCTTCCCACTCCAACATGGATGGAGGGCCTGGGAACGTCAATGAAATGGGCAACGTATCGTTGGACGTTAGCATGGCTGATGATGCAGCCATGGACTATTGTCGCGTTTGCCAGACCCGCAACATTGCCCTGGACAATCTTCCCGTCCACCTCAGTCTGGCAGAGTTGAAAAACTTTCTTCAGGTGGGAACTTCTGTTTTACGTTTCATTTTGGAATTTTGACTCATCTTTGATTCATGTAGGCGTACGGGGACATCAGGCATATGTTCAGACCCAAGCAAGGCCTGTACAGCGGCGTTGTTGTCATGTTCTTCGACATCGACCACGCAGTCAATGCTTTCAAGGCCCTTTGCAACGCCCACCTGGGAAATCGCAAAAGCATCACATACTTTGTTGACACGGATCAACTGCAAGCACTGCTATATGGCGCTGATCTGCCTTCCGACCAGTCTGTTTCCCACTTCCTGGACAATCAAGGAGAGATTCTTCTGTCTGGGTTGACGTACCGCGATGATAACACGATTGTGGTAAGTTGGTTGCGTGTGTTTCACCGTTCCCGGAAGGCTTCATCTGACTTTCCCTGTTCTCAGAACATTTTGGAGACCTATGGTCGAGTTCGTTCCCTTCGAAGCTTCAACTATGGCAATCACACTTCATATGCCGTTGAGTTCTTCGACACTCGTGTTGCTCGCAGTGCATTCGAGGGCCTGCACGATGTCGTCATCCAGGTATGCCAGAGCACTTCATGCTGTTACCCTCACCGGTCCGAACTAACGTACATATCTCCATAGGACCATCCGATACACGTTGCTTTTCCCCGCTTTATACCTGTGGGCCCCGGCAGCTCATCCCTTCCAAGCGCTGACCGCCCTATGCACCTACCCATTTTGGACAATAATGAGCAGAACATCGGTCTGAGACGCAACGCTAGCTCTGTCTCCGTCTCAAACATGCACAGCGAGATGGCTCACCACCATAGAAGCAACAGCTCGATGGTATGCATCCCAAAGTCAGCGCAGACATTGTTTTGGAGGCTCAGCTAACCCTCACTCATCCGGATAGGAGGAGCTGCATTACGGCATGGCGGGCAAACCACGCGTGTGGCAACCTTTGAAGCACCGAGGCCTTAAAATTGACACGTCTTCGTCTCTGATGCGCCCGAGCCCTCTGCGTCGCGCAGCATCCGAGAACTGCGTTACGGCTTCCCTCGCCAGGGAGCTCGAGCATTCCATGCATGCCGACATGAGCCAAATGTCGGCACACAACGGGTTCCCTAATGGCCGCGCTCGATTTGCAGCTTCTCCCACCAGGCTGGCGATGCCGAAGTTCCGCATTGGGAGCCCGGGACCTCGCTCACCCGTCACGGAAGTTCCTTCACCGTTGCACCCTGTCCCTCCACCCAATGAGCACTCCATTCCTGCTGCAAATGAGTTGAACTTGTATAACATTGGTAAGTAGGAGTTGGTTGAGAGAGACAACACTCCGCAACACACCGCAGTTCTAACACTAACCCTCGCTTCTTTCGCAGCCATGGGATATGATACCCGCACGACCTTTATGATCCGCAATATTCCTAACAAATATACCCAGGTATGTGTTCTCGCGAGACTCCTCTGGATGATTGAACATCGGCTAACGTTCCCATTTGACTCCCTCAGGAAATGTTGATTGCATTTTTGAATCGGACTCACAAGGGCCAATTTGATTTCTTGTACCTGCGAATGGACTTTAAGAACCGATGCAACGTCGGTTATGCTTTCATCAACTTCAACGGCTCGGCAGCTGTCCTTTCGTTCGCTGAAAGGGTTGTTGGCAAGAAATGGTAAGGCTTGATATTCGTCCCTCAACTGGCCGACGTGGTTCCTTAACTCTTCCCAATCATCAGGTCGAAGTTTAACAGCGACAAAGTGTGCACCTTAAGCTACGCGAACATACAAGGCAGGAACGCCTTGATCCAGAAGTTCAGGAACTCGAGGTATGTCCTTCTTCCTGGTCTCATACAGCGGTGACGGGTTCTGACCTCTATTCGCTCCTAGTGTGATGTTGGAAGCCCACGACTGGCGCCCGAAGATTTTCCTCACTGAGGGCCCATGCGCCGGGGAAGAGGAGCCCTTCCCCCCGCCGACGATGGCCATCCGCCCTCGTTCCGACGTTCTCTTCAGCCGCGACAACGCCGGTCTCCCTCACCGCGGCAACTCGGTCAACGAAGGCCGTGGCTCTCCTCGCAAAGTCTCGTTCGACGACTTCGACGGGCAAGTAGGCCAGTGGCCCAAGCCTTCCCGGGGCGACCAAACCTGCGATTCGCCGGTCAGCCGAAGTCAGTCGCGCTCGTCCCTCAACAGCGCGTCCATCGATGACCTCGACTTCTCCAAGCTCACCCTCGGAGATGACATCGTCCCTTCGGTGGTTGGCAACGAGAAAGAGAACGGCTCTCTCCAAGCACCTCCCCAATGGGGTGACCAGCCGCTTGCGGGAAACATGTCCCTCCCTGGGATCGTTGACGGCGTATCTCACCAGCAGATGGCAGCAAGCTGGGCTTTGTCGTAAGGCCGACGGCATCGTATAGTTGAGACGGGTTGGCCGTGAGGGGAGCCATCTCGCCCACTCGTTTCTGACCCGCCCAACACTTCCTCGGAGACAACCCCCAACTGGCCATTTGGGATTTTTGCTTCCACCCTGTCTCCTCCCCATTTTGCCAACCCCTTCATTTGTTTGCATATAGCGATTCAATCGAATTTCGTTTCTATCTTTCTTATTCATTTTTATCTTCATTCTCTTATATAGTCTCCCATTTTTGCGACCCCTTTTCCTCCCACAATTCCCCTCCCGACTTTGGGGAGTCTCTTCTCTGTACTTGCTCTGTGTGATTTGGCGTGCGGTAGCTTGTGATCTGCTTCTTGATGGACGAGGGACTGTACTTGTGAATACATATATTCTTTTTGCGAATCCAGCGAAACTTGCCATCGTCGACTGCAAACACTTTATGTTCAATTTATCGCAGTTGAACGACTTTTAAATCTTTGATCTCTTGTCACACTTTCAGCTCGCTCTCACGACACTCTCATTCTGCGAACTTCCCAACGAACCTTGAACAACACCAGCTCGCTGTTATAACACATCACAACTGGTCAATCCGCCAACACTGCCATGCCAAAAATCGTCAGTTCCAGCACAGTCTCGGCAAGTAACGATCTCGCGCAAGACGCCGAAAAGAACCTTCACGTGTACTACTGCAAATTCTGCGGAGAATACGTTCTCATCATAGGTATGTCACAACATAATACGGGGAGGAACTCCTGGCTGACGCTCGGCATTGCCTAGATAAACGCATCCACAAGCTGCCGCGTCGGCCAACCGACAATGCGAGCGTGATAACGAAGCAGAGGACGTTCAAACTGAACTTGAAGCGGGGGACGACGCGGATTATAAAGAGGTACGGAAGCCTTCTGGGGCAAGACCGTTCATCATTGGAGACTGAACTGCTCCGTTTCACGAACAGATCCACGGGATACGAAAAACAGTGCAGATGGGAATGTCCGCGGTGTGATCTCCCCGTCGCATATGACCAGGAAGCTGACACTGTATATCTCTTTGATGGGTCCGTTGAGGCGTCGGGGACTGGGGAGAGGGCGAGGATTGGAGCGGAGGGGAAGGTATGAGCTGACATATTCCGGTGGTTGGTAATGGAGCTTGCGCTGATCGGTTTGTTTTTCAGGTACTGGATAAACGGCCGTCGGCGTTACAGGCGACTGCAGATCAGCTCATCAAAGAGAGCAAAGAGAGATACCGTCTTTATGGATGAAAACGTAGCTTCTTGCTATTACGAGATCTGGCGAGATACTTGTCGGTGCGAATATCATCCATTTTTGGCGTATGTATTACTGGACAAATACAGATACCCTATGGAGGGGAAGATGAGATCATTGCCTCGGCGCGGACGCCCTCAAGGCGAAATCATATCACACTCGGGTGAAATCATATTACACTCGTTGTCTTCTTGGGCTGGACTGCGGCGACGGCACAGGGCTCTGAATGACATGGAGGTCGCTCGTCACCTGGAAGTGGAATGAGGCAATGCAGACATGTTAAGCGGGTCGAACGGAACCCACCTCCGTGAAGATGACATCCCAATCCCATTGTACGTCTGGCTCGACTAGTTGATCTGGAGGAATGAGGGCTGTCGAGACCAGGAGAGAGACATCTATGCCTGCCAGTGATGTTGGAGGCTGCAATACAGCGACTGTGAGTCGATTCCGCTCGCAAAGAGGCATCGACCGGTGCTCACCTCAATCAACTGTCCTGTGCTAGCTAGAAGCTCCCCGTCTAATTCCTGCATATTCTTGAATCTGTTGATTTTGATCGCAGGTGCAGCCGCAACTTCAGTGAGCATCTGGTTGTCTTGCACTTGATCCAGATCTGGGATGATCACGGTCACTGGAAACATCAATGTCATTAGACACTGCATCAATATCGAATGTTCCCAGCAGGGCGCTTACCTGCATCGTCAGAACTATCCTGCCCTACTGTCGTTTGCTTTCTGAACTGCCATATTAGCCTTGCCACATCTCCCAAATGAGCACATCACAACACTTGCTTTATTTTTTCCCTCCGATCCCTTGGTGGCGGAACAGGCACCGTGTCTACATCATCATCAATATCCTCCACATCCTGCGCCTCCTTCCTAGTTGACCCACTCTTTCCACGGGTGAAGGTACCTCCAACTAGTCCACCCCGCGGCGGCGAGCTCTCTGGCGCTGGAGTATCCCATCCACCTCTTGTCTCCTTCATCGCTTCCGGCCTTAACATCTCTCGAATCCTCCGCGGCTTCTTTGCGACAGAGGCAGGCTCCTGTGGCTCATCATTCCCAATCAACGCCGCTTCAGCTTTACTTTCGGATAGCAGGTCGTCGCGAAATAGAAAGTCGTCTTCTTTGCGGAGCTTGTCTGGTCCACCTTCTGCTGGTTTGGCGCGCCGCCCCAAGCGTCTCGGCGGCGGCTGCGGTGCGGATTGAAAGTCATCGCTCATCTTGGCTGAGTTGAAGTTGTTTGCTGCAGTTCAGGAGTACGTATGTTGTGTATGTGTCGTCTGTCTGTAACGTTTCTGAGGTTTCTGCCAGCACGTCGAATTGGGAGCAGCCGGAGGCGGGAGACCGCTATGGCAGCAAAGTCGATGTGAGGTTGGCAGCGTATGTTAAAGGTGCGCAAGATTAGCACCGAGCTCGCTACATCGAATGGTCTGTCCGTGATGTTCTGAGCCAGCACGTCGAACACACTTCGGTCAATCCGTTTGCTAATGCCGCGACGAATGCGCAGGCGGGCCAGGCGGTCGAAGTTGAAGTTCCCCGTTTCCCCATCACTTTACATCCTATCGAGAAACACCTACCCCCTCGCAGCCCATATCTTCACCCCGTCTCCGTTCTCTTCCTCTTTCCGCTATTTCACAGGCCTTTATCTCTTCGTTTTCCCTTCCCAGCTTGTTTGGCAGTGTTACTCGGCTCTTCAATTGTGCAGGATTCGGACTTCCTTTTTGTTAGCTTAGCGTCTCACCTCAAGCTGCTCAATATGGACGATAGCGAGTTACTCAGACAGATATCGCTGCTTGCAGGTAGGTTGAGCCTCTCGTTGCGTTCAGGCATAAAGACTGGTGCGACTTCAGACATGGGCGAAAGAGGGAGGGATGGGGTTTCTCATGCACACTCTGTGGATTCACCTGAACCAGGTGCTCTGAATGGCCCCGTCAAGCCCATAGCACGAACGCATTGTGAACATGGGTTCCACCCCTATACGAAAGCGCCGATTCCGGCAGGTCGTGCTCGGGGGCCTCACAACAAAACACTGATAAACGGGAGCAGTGGGAGAACCGTCACGACAAGTCGGAGTTTTGCCCCAGTAGCGCGGACAAGCACGCAAACGGCATCGCTGCCAGTGAAATCCCATCACCGCAAACTGATTAATCAAAATAGTGGCACGGCCATGTCTGTCAACCGGAGTACTGGCAGTGCGACCAGTGAGAATTCAACACTGGGAAGTGGACTGCCACAGGCATCATACGTTAAGAAAGGGAACAAGCTTTATCGCGTTGGAAGTGGTACGTTCAGCAATGCCGAGATGGGCTTGTATATTTTCGATGGTCGGGCATTTCGGAGAAGTCTCGTCATATTCGCCGCAAGTTTGCCAAATTCCCGCCTTACTTCAATCTGCAGCAGCGGCCGAAAGTCTGAGTAAGCGTGCTCCATCCAAAGGGTGAGCAACGAGAGCATCTCAAGCTGCTCTCGAGGATGGCGAGTATTGACGTTGAGTACCCGTCGCAGAGCACCCATAACGGCGAAATCGGTTACGTTTCATAAATCCTCAAAACATCGCACCTTGATCGTGTCCAATGGCAAGTCCTATCAAAAGAGTGCGGACGGACGGAAACTGATTGTCACTACATCGCCCTCTGCGTCTCATCCTGGTGAGGACGCTGGACTTTACTGGCGTCTCCCAAGTCGCTTACAACGCTGATGATACTATTATTTGCAAAAACAGAGACCCCACGTGCTATCAAAGGCCTCAGCATCAACGGCGTTGCCTTCATTCGTGGGGGAGCATCTGGAAATAAGTTGGTCCGAGTTACAGATGGTGAGGCATCGATTACCATTACTTTTCTCGACGGCGCAGCGAATAGTTTCTTCAACATTGAGGCGTATCCGCCGTTTCCACGTTCTTTTCGCAGCCGACAGGTCAAAGATAAAAACACCAAAACGATTAATTTTGAACGGACAATCGTTCAGCCGAGCTAAGAGCGGAAACCTCGTGTTAACGAGAGCGCTGCGAACTCCTGACAAGTTTGTTTCCCTTTTGATCGCTTCTGACTTCGGCCATATGGACAGCAAACATGGATCAGCCGATGCTACTCCGCTGTCGCCATGTAGTACTTATTATCTTCATCCAATCGCACCAGGAGCGCGCATAAAACGTCGAAATCGCACCATTCCCGATTGAAAAAGCATTGCCAATTCTATCGCTTTGGTACTGACAAACTTGCAGAGCTTATCGACGACTGATTTTTTTCTCATCCATCTTCCAACCTTCGCAACCCGATAATTCTAGGTCAATGTCAGAAAGGAGCATCATGTCCTTACATTCACGATCCGGCACGGTTGGCAGTATGTCCCGCCTTTCTCAAGGGAAGTTGCACGGAATCGCCTTGCAAACTCTCGCACTCACCCACGGAGTACAACATGCCAATCTGTGTCCACTTTGAACGGGGCAGATGCACCAAGAGCGAGGAATGCCCTTATCTTCACGTGAAGCACAGCCTGGATACAGCGGTTTGCCCATCCTTCGCGATGGACGGTTTCTGTCAAGCTGGACGCCAATGTCCGCTCCGACATGTGTGCGAGTGTCCAGAATTTGCTGCTAACGGAAAGTGTTCGAAAAGAAAATGCAAACTTCCTCACAAGGCAAAGGGGACTGACAAACAGCAGAACGGGAAACACGGCGCCAATACTTGGGTTTCGCCGGCTGTGTTGGCCCAGAAACGGGCTGCTCGAGGCCGGTTTTGGAACGGTAGAGACTCGGAATTAGCCGACGAGGAGAGGGAGCAGTTGGATCGGCTCCCTATTCGGCCGGATTTCTCAATACCGATTAACGACATGAGCTCTTCGGACGACTCCGGTTCGAATGCCGACTCGGACGATGAAGGCGAAATGGAAGAGGAGGAGGAGGAGGAAGATGAGGAGGAATTTGACCCGACCAGCTCCGAGGGAGAAGAAGCGGATGACGATGATGAATCCGACGACCGGAGCGATCAGGTCGGAACGGACGAGGGCACCTCGCAAACGGGGACCGAGGTCGACGTCATTGAGATCTTTTCAGAAGATGAAGATGAAGTTGGTGCGGGTGCTGCCCAGCAGCCCGTTGGGCCGTATATCGGCGCTGATGATTGGGTTAGAGTGAAGACGGAGAAAGGCGCGGATGTGGTTGATCTCACTATGGAGTGAGAGCCGCTGTTTTTTTCTTTTCCTCCCCTTTTGGCTGTTTTTCGTCGTGTCTTTGAGCGGGGAAATAATTCCTACACCTCTTCGCCTCCATACCCCCCCTCTCCCTTCTTGGACACTCTCTGTTGCTCGATTTCCCCTCCCTCTCTTTTGGATAACTTATCACTTCTGTTTGTCACCGCGGGTTTCTTTCTTCGAGTTCCTCCCCTCCCCTTCGGTTCATAGATAGTGATGTGTGTTGTAAAGTCTTCAAAGGAGTAGCCTGTCCTGTAAAAATACTGGTTGTCATGACCGTAAAACAATATAAGGATTGTGATCCTCGCCTAATGTCACACGATGGAGTTCAAAGCGGATGCACGGAATGATGTCCTGCAGCAAAGGCTCAGGTGTTGATAGATGTCGTCATTTCATTTCCCGCAAAACGAACCAGCGAAGAATCAGCCATCTAACTCTAATCTTCCCCTCGCTGGCTACAAACTCTACGACGACTCGGACACAGGTTTAGCATCCCTCCTCACGTCCCAAAAATCTTTGATGATGGTGGAATCGGCGCATCGCGTTTTGAACACGTTGGAGGTCCGTGAGCGTAGGATCTCTTCGACTGTGAACTCGCGTTCTATTGCTCGGCGCTGCAGGAGAAGGTGCAGGGGTTGCATTGGGTTGTGTGAGTGGGCTGAGGGTTCGTGTCCGGGTGTCGGGTCCATTGAATGCATATCCAACCAGTCCGCCGTCATCGGCTCGCCCCTGATTCACGTGCGCTCACCTGTCCCTCATCGTGAGCAATCTCATTACTGAGATCCGAATCGTCTTCAGGCGAGTAAGGCCCCAATTTTGCTCTGTTCTTCGATATCCTCTCATCTCGCACACGTAGACATTCTGCTATCAATCTGCCCATCGCAAAGGGTGACGTCGGAATCAGCACGAGTGTCAACAAGCTTTGTAGGTTGAAGAGCGCCATACATACCGTTCTCTACTTCGATACGCCGCTTGTAATGTATCTTCAAACCGCTGACAGGACTGCGGAAAGGTCTTCCACTCAGCGGCTGCTCAAAGATCAAACCCAACGGAAAGCAAGGAGAGCAACTGTTTTCCAGTCCGCACCTCTCTAAAGTTCGGTTGCCGTGTCGTCAATCCGTTTAGTCTCGGTATTATGTTATCTTCCAGTATCCGCGATTGCTGTAGTGATCTCGCGACGGTGAGTCGTTCACGTTCCCACACCAAAATGTTCCCCTGCTAGTCATCCAAAACGCTTGCAGAACTACTGCCCGCTCCAACAATATCCACTATGCCGTCAAAGCCCAGTCGACAGTACCTGTAAAGTTCCTGGAAAGGAGAGGTAAAGACGTCAGCATCCAGTTCAGTGAAGTGCTGCCAGAGCAGTGAAAGCCGCTCACCGTACTTTTGAATAAAGAGTAGTCCTGGCAGACGGTCGTGATTGCGCGGTCGTCCAGGGGTGACGATGCTGGCGTTGCCATTGCGGTTGTTTTAGGGACGAAGATTTACACAGAGTAGCAGGTCTAGATCTACTGGCCGGGGAATAGGAGCTTACCGAACATCGGAACTTCCGAGTGGATGATGTTGCAAGCCTCGAACGCGTTAACGTAAGCGTCGGCCGTCCGGAAATATGTCGAACATGGCGGCGGCCTCAATCATGGCTGCTTTGCTTTTTGCAAGAACCAGGAGCCTGGGGCTCTCTATCGATCCATACATGTTCTGTAGGTCTCCGTCTGTTTCATCTTGCTCGCAATTCAAGATTGCTAATAGCCTCGTTGCAAAAACAGTCGTGCGCCAGGCACAAAGCAATCAACCATGTCAGACACATCAGACATTCCAGAACTACACTCGATATCCGAATCCTCCAATATCCCGCAAGGCTCAGAAGCCGAATACCTACGAATGCTAGACGATGCCGAGCGTGTAGCGGGACGAATAACAGTCATGCGCGACGAGCTCGAGAACCTGTTCGCCGAGGTATTAGGGCTGATTTCGGCGTCGAGTGACAGGGAGATTGATGGTGTGATTTCGACGGTGGCGGGGGGCTGTGTGGATGTGCGGGATGCGGAGGCGGGAGGGAGCATGCGGAACGCTCGGGTGGGGATGGAAGGCGATGAGGATGCGGAGAGGGGAAGAAGGCGCTGGAGGGAAGGGTGTTCGTCGAAGGGGCCAAAGATCCCTGCGTCGTATACGCGCAAACCTGCACCTTCGAGCAACATCTACACGAGAGCTTATCACGGGCGACCGACCACGAAAGCTGAGCCGAAAGACCCTACAGCGCACCGACCACCGCCGCAACCCACAAAGCGCGGCAGAACAACGGTCCCTCCATCTCAAACCCAAATCCCACGACCGCAGCTGGCACTGCACAACTTCACCAAAAGACTAGCACAGGCACGACGCTCGCATAACGAAAAGCGCGACCCGCACTCGCGTCCAATACCGAAGCGCGGATGCCCACCACCCACGGTAGATGGCCGTCGACCATATCTGCGTACTTCGACGAAAGCCGAGGTCGACTTTAGCTGCACGCTTACCGATTTTCTTGCCGAAGACGATGTGCTGGCTACCTCGAGATCGAGGCCTGGTGGTCGATGGAGAACGAGGGACGCTGGTGTCGTCGATTCGAGATACGATGCGGATAGGTTGACAGGAGGGAAGGGGAGGCTATGCTGGAAGAGTGGTTTTACGCATTGGCATCCCAGCGAGATTGCGATGCGGGCGAGACCACATTCCATGACCAGTACAAAAGCACGGCCACCGAGTGAACGGCGGCCATGGAGGTAGCACTTGCAACATGGGGTGCCGCAAACCTCGTTCACTTTGTACCTACGTTTGCCACATTTTGCATATATTGCTAAGCTGGGGAATAGCATCGACAGTTGTGACCGACAATTTGACCGACAAATCTCCGCCTTTGGCGCACCCTGGCAATCCCAAGGAGTATTGCATTAATTCTTATTTCCCGCAAACTGCAGAGGGACCTTTGAAGTGAGTTCGAGGGGTTCTGAAAGACCAGAATCCCACTGATACTCAGTTCAAAGACCGACATCTTGCAAGTCAGGAGGTAAAAAATTTGGGCAGGGGAGCGCATGATCCCACAACACACTCCACTTACCCGCAAGTCCTCCAGACAGACGTTCCAGACAGTCTCGATGCCAAGCCCATTATCGCCACTTGCAGCGCTGTTTGGTATAAGCCGAGGGAATTTGCACACCTCCAAAAAGGCAGCAATGTCGCGTCGGGAGGGAATAGCAAGGACGAACCTTTAACGCACGGCCTACCCGAGGGTTACCGACGGTTTTCCCTCCTTTGTTGCGAAACTTTCCCCCAACTCCAACGAAGGTTGCAGCTTCTAGGCATGGCAGAGATCGTCTTCATCCGCTGTCAAGGCGTCTCCGTGGGGTGATGTACGTCCCCAGCCCGATTTCGATAGGAAAGATCAAAGCACGCAATGGCAAGCCGCACACACATATCAACACAGGTACGGGCAGCGACCTAAGACCGTCTTGTAGTTTTTTTGTTCTGTTGGGCGTTTGCCCAAGCAGAAACCCAGTCAAAGACAGCCGTAAAATACTGGGCATGAGGGCGATGACCAAAGCCATCGTCAAAGCGGAGCATCAATGTGAGCAGGCAGAGAGACGGCTCTGTTCAGCAAAGCAATCTGCGCGAACGCAGACGTGCACAAACAGACGTCTCCAGCCAGGTTGCTCGAACACGATTCTCAACGCCCCGACACACACTTAGGGTTAGGTTCTCCCATCAGGTGAGAAAAGTGTTTCGGTGAGCGTGAGCAGCCATCTACTCGGGGTATCCTCTCAGAGCCTCGACAGTCCGGATGGGACAGGAGGCACACCAGAAAGGAAGACCCTAGCTATTTGGCTGTCACACACAGCCTACTAGCTTTCCATATCTCCGTCTGGGGTGAAAGCCGTAGTGGTCAGACTGCCCTGCCCGCTATTCCGCGGGATGCACGCGCTCTGCTCCATTCCGAGAACGAAACCAGAGGCAGCATCTATGACCGCTAGCGGGGATTTGTGTACGTACTGCGTGTGCGGCGCCGGAGTTGCGAGCCGTTCGTTTCCTATCTTCCCACAGAGAGACCTTTTTGGCGAGAGACTTGCAGGTGATGTGCCCTGGGAGCCAGCTTTGGAAGTGCGCTGATGAGAGAGCGCAGATGGAAAGCCGTGCACCAGCATGTCGTGTTGTAAATGTAGACCCCAGACGGGCAAGTGGCGCAGCAGTCAGTTCGGACATCCGCACGTCGCAAGGAGTCTCCCGCTGCTCACGTCAACAATCTTCCCTCCCAGCCCCCCACAACTCATCAACTTCCAACCGAGCGAGCAGCAAGCGTCCTCTCACCGTATCGCATTTATCTGAAGCTGTCAGCTTGGATAAGAATGTTCCTCACTCAGGCTCGCCGGGCCTGTCCTGTCCTGCGTCAAGCAAGGGTGAGTGTGGAGGGTCTCCCGGCCAGTGACAGGTCATCTCTCGCGGCCAGATGAAACCATCTTGCTTACCGGGCGAACCTTTTGTCTTTCTATCTTCTTCGATCTAGTCATTCACAAGCACAACTCCTGCCGCTTTCCTCCGTCGTAAGTTCCGCGTCCATGAGACCCTTCCATCTTCCATGTGAAAAGGACACTTTCAGTCCTATGCTTCCACCGACTCTAACGACTAGAATTGCCCGCAGCCGATTACCAGAAGGTCATCGTACACGGTCGCGTCGGTGATGATGCGAGGAGAGTGGAGTTCAAAGACGGGACGGGTAGGTGGAACTTTCCTGTTGTGACCAGGGAGGGCAAGAAGAATCCGGAGACGGGGGAATGGAAGAACGTCCTCCTGTGGCACCAGGTCCAGCTCGAGGGAGAGCTGCCTCAAGACTTTGAGAAGGGGTACGGACTACTTATACCCTTTATTCTAACGTGGGAGACAGTTTACTTCGGTTATTGAGGAACCGTTCCTTGGTTTTGTAGGGCATATGTTATTGTCGAGGGAAAGCTGAGTTATTACAAGGCAAAAGGGGAAGGCCCCAATATCGCAAAGATCAAGGTGGCACAACGTAAGTAGCGTCGGATATGTCTGGAAAATTTAGACTCATTGCTCATGGGTCAAAAATCTACGTAGGTGGCATCAACGTTACAAGAAGAGCGGATGAGGACCTCCGCGCCAGTCACCACGAACAGGGTGCTGAAGGAGAGCAACATCGATCAGAGCATCAGGAAGATGGCGAGAGAAGCCAGGCGTATGGTAGATAGTTGGCTTGATGAGCCGTTCAACGCATAGCGCGTCCGAAGTGCCTTTCTGAGCCGATAGTATTGCGGGAAGAGTTTTTTGCGTAGGAGTCGTTTATTGAGGCCGAAGGCCATTGTACATAGTAGGTAGTGAATGAAAATGATATCTTCCCAGCCAAGCGTAGTTCAAAAAAGGAAAACTTTCTCTTGGCGTCTGTCCGATAGCAAATGTGTAGGTATCCCAAACAAAGCATCTACGCCTGCATGAATATATTACAAGGAAGCCAGGTCTTGAAAACTCAGATATACACAAATGCTGTCCAACACCGAAATCTTTCATACAACGCCAAGTTGACCTCGCTCTGCCGAACTCATCTCACATCCCTCCCGTCTTGCGAATCATCTTTTCAGCATTGCTACGCCCTGTAACGTGCACCGAACCCTCATCCGACAGCTCGTCCAGTAGCTGGTTGAATTCGTATTCAGGGATGTGCTGGGGAAGAACAACGCGGGTGAGATGAGTTGAGGCGACCCTCATTTGCCAGTGAAATGCGGCAGTGTCTTACCTCATCGGACTGGTCCCCAAACATGCGGAAAGCCTCAACCCACTTGACGCTAACGCGGTCCATGTTCTGAAGAAGCGCTCGCAAAGCGGCTCGCTTGTCCGCATGCACCCGTCGCGATCGGGAGCTGATGCCCGTGTTGACGAGATCTAAATCGATCAATCCGGTTTTGGGGTCGATGGCGGCGGTCTGAAGGGCGGTGTGGACCAAGCTAAAACGGAGGGGTCTGTGAGTAAGGAAGCAGAGGAGAGAGATCCGCCGCAATTTACCACTCACCGATGGGCTTCGTCGACATCAATCCTGTCTACAGTCAAAGACAGCCTGAAAGAGAAGTACTTGGTCAGGACTGAGGCCTCTCGCTTTCCAAATACCAGCATCCTCCCATACCTCATCCGAGCATGTCCCTCAGCCAACCGAATCATACTCTCCAGCTGCCTGGTTGTGAACGTGACGGTGTTGCTGCCGCCATCTTTCCCCATGTTCCGCAGCTTCACGTAATAGTCAATCAGCGCTTCACCAGCATCCTCAGAGATGACTGGGTTGATCTTTGACCGTGCGTAGTTGATGTACTTTGCAAACGTCTCGATGGGCTGAAATACACCACAATTACGCGATTCGTCAAAGGATTGTCTCCGGTTGAAGATCCAGCTTACAGAGCACATACCACAAACTCGTCCATGTGCACCAATCGCCGCTGAAGCTCCTCAGCTCCAACATAGAACCCAACCAAATGCTGGGCCAATCTGCGATCGTCGCGCTCGTTCGGCTTGTCCAAGATCAAATAGGTCAGGTCGAACCTCGATAGCAATGGTGCCGGGAGGTTCACGTTCTCGATAACAGAGAGGTTCTCGTCGAATTTGGACTTGATGGGATTCGCACATGCAAGAATGGATGTACGGGCGTTGAGGGTTGTGATGATGCCAGCTTTAGCGACGGAGATAGTTTGTTGTTCCTGCAAAACAGCGTTGGCTTTCGAAACTGGTATATGCTTACACCAGATGCTCACCATGACTTCGTGAAGGACAGATCGGGTGTAGTCCGACATTTTATCGAATTCATCGATACAGCAGATTCCTCCATCACTCAGCACCAAGGCACCACTAAGGCAGAACCATGTCAGCTCCACCCTTCGTCCACCATGACATATTTCAGAGTCTTACCTCTCCAGCACGAGTTGCTTGCTATCCGGGTCCCTTGTGATATACGCCGTCAAACCAACAGCAGACGATCCTTTTCCAGATGTGTAGACACCTCTGGGCGCAACCTTATGCACGTAAGCGAGCAATTGAGATTTACTGACACCAGGGTCTCCAACCAGCAGGATATTGATGTCTCCACGGATACGCGGCGTTCCGGGCTTCTCTTTGTTAAACTTGTTGGCCCCTCCAAACAGTTGCAAGAGAACTCCTTTCTTGACATCTTCCAATCCAAAGATCGAAGGCGCGATGGAGCGCGAGAGAAGATCGTACATGTCCGGCCGTTGGGATAGCTCAATGATGGTCTGCTCCTGAACGGGATCGGCCTCTTGGAGACTATCGCCTTCATCAAAGTCGACTGTGTATTCGTTTTCAGCATGTATGCTTTTGTCTACACCGAGCCTCTTGTCGTCAGTGCGCTTGATGTGAACAATGTCCACGTAAGTCTTGAAGAGGGCCTTGATAGCCCTTTGACGGGGGTTAACACGCACAGGGACTCCACGGAAGATACCAGTGATCTCCACCCTGTCACCAGCTTTGGACACGTCGACGAGATCATTGTATATGCACATCGAGACCGTGTGCGGAGTTTGACCGTCGGGTGTCTCATCGGGGGTCTCTTGAAGACGGCAAATCTGTTTGTCGGCAAACACGCATCGATTGTGGACCAGCCTCATCGAGTTTTGTGTTTTGCAAGCCTCACGCGGGCATCTCGTAGGTTCGTCGACCCGTCCACGATCGGTTTCGACCTCTACGGTGTGATCACAAACATGGCACCGGAAGAAAGCTAAAGCAATGACGTTAAAGATGGCGTCTGAGACCAACAATTCTGGTGGCCACCGGTATGGCACCTACCTAGATTCAAGTCGGGAATTAACGGCGAAGACCTGATCAAGATTCCTTTAACCGTCACGAGCTGATCAATGTCTGTAGAAACAAAGAACTTTAGCACTTCCATTTGTCAACTCAATTCCGGAACATGAAAGACTGTACCCGATGGGTTTAGCTGCCTCAAGTTCACGGATCTTTCCAGATTGAAAGGACGAACTCTCATTTGGACACCTTCAGGGAAGTCATCGAACATTTCCCGTGCAATTTCTGACAGAACATGATCCATGAGAGGGATGACTTCTTGAGGGTATCTTTGGAGTTGGTGGTACAGCTTCAAAGACGGCCTGTAGCTACGAATGTTCGAGCAGTCCAAGTTCATGTTGTACCGTTCGCTGTCTTTCAACTAAAGAGAGTGTAACGCATCAGCATAGGCATCGCCTTCGTAGTTGAACTAGACGAACGTACGTTTTGGAGCAACCGAGGATAGAACGGCACAGAGTCCGTCTCCATGTCATCCGTTCCCGCATTCGCATCATTCCGACAAAAGTTCAATATGAAGTTCCTGAACATATTCATCGCCTGTGCCATATTGACCGTTGTTCCCCAGATGACCGTCGTAACGGCGGCGGGATCAGATTGAGCAACGTCGCCCTCAGATGTCATCCCAATACCATTGAAGGCATCCAAAAGATTCCGACCAACCGGTCCTTCACTGCCATCTTGCTGTGCTTGCAAGAGACGATCAACGAAACGGTTGCCTGCAATATCACCACGGCGGTTGCGAGGGGTCGATCCTAATGCGCGAGCGCCAGAGCCAGAGAAGGAGGTTCGGGAAAAGCCATCTGTGACTTGCGACAAAGGGTTCTGGCGTCGTCTCCGGTCAGGGCCGTCCGATGAAGGTGGGTACGCGAGGGGAGATCCAACGGTGTCTGCATAGGAGTTCGTTAACACCCATGAGACAAATAAACCAGAGGCAAACGAACTTACCAGCAGCTGTGCGCTTCCTTGGTGCAGGTGATTGAGCGGCCCCTCCCGGTGGGTCCGTTCCCATCGGTACATCACGGCGGATCAAAGGTGACGACAAAACTGAGCTTTGAGAGGCAGCCGCAGCACGACGACCGTCTCCCCGCTTCTGCTGACCCCCATTTTGGTCCTCGCCTAACTGTTCATTCTCGAGGTCAGAGAAGACGTCGCCTTGAGTTCTGGCCCCTGCACTGTCTCGTTGGACAGAGGACGTTAACGAGCGGGACAGCGACTTTGCGCCGGTCAGTCCGGACGGTGTTGCCGAGTCTCCGAAGGTCGACGCTGTGTCCTGAGATTCATCCTGCCGTACAATGGGCTCAAGTGCTTGTCGTCGTTGCCGACTGCTCCGTGGTGTGGCAGGGGAATTAGGGGCAGAATTCCTGGAGGACATATTGCTGGGTAGTCCTCTAATGTCGATCAAGTTAGTTCTTGTTGGGCGGAATAGTACAAGGGATTTGTGCTGTGCTTGGGAGAGAACTCGCAGGTCCATCGGACGCAATCGAGTCCGAAAACAGCACGTCCGAAAGGGCGGACGTGTCTGATGATGGGCGAAACCCCTGTGAAATCGGGTTGCAACTTGCACCTGCCCGACGCTTTTACCGTGCACCATATGGGTATGATCGTCCAGAACCGTAACCTGCCTGCAGGCTTCCAAAGCCTTATGTCCATTGGTAGCCGCCGTAGGCGGGGCGATTGCTATGGCTGCAAAGCCCCTGCAATGCCATTATGCTTACTAGTGCACGTTGCCTGGAAGCCAGTGGACAGTCTCTGCCTTAGAGGAATGTCAGGAGGGGTTAGGGCTAACCCGAAAGGGTTAACCCTAACCCCACGTGGAGCTAGAGATTTCAACTCATCAGCGGCAGGCAGATCCCAAAGGCACTCGCAGCATTACCGGTTCAAGCGTGAGATGGTCGCATGTAGCTCAGCTGACTATCCCCAGCTGGTCAAAGAAAAAAATTCTCACGTATGGGGAAGATGTTGGTCTTTGAAGCGGTGGAGGCAGTAAGAAAGGAACGAAGGGAACGGCGCAGAGGCTTGTGAAGAAGGTCACTGTCAGTCAGATGCGGCACGCGTCGCGGCCTACGGGACGCCATGCGACGAGCGTAGAGCTCTGTCTGCTTTGCAGCCATAGAATTGAGAAGATATATTATTGGGCCTAAACGAGGAGATGTCGGACGAGAGCAGAATCTATGTATTTATCTAACTGGCCTACACATACACCGCACGCCATACTCTACGGCTTCTACCCACGTGCACCGCCTCTACTCCGTTTCAGCTTCTCCCGCTTCCTCGCAGCACTCTTGTGCTTGCTCTTGAACTCGTACGTCAAGTCTCTCCGGCTGTCTTCCCATTGCATCGTGATCTCTGCCTCTGTCTGCGTTCGCATGAAAGTCCCGTTGGGAGCGTAGTTCGAGCGATGAGCGAGCTCTGGCTTGTCGAGGTGGAGAAAGAAAAGAGGGATTGAGCTGCTGAAGCTATCGTGGACCGCTGGGGTTGTGTATGCACGCATTGACGATGTAATGGCTGACGGCTGAGCGAAAGACGTGAAGGTATCCGCCATCGGAGCTTCCGAAGACTCGTCGTTAGCGAAAGGGAACAAAGAGAATGAAGAAGCCTGATCGGCTTTGGTTGCAGCGTCATCTTCTGGGCCTCCAAAGAGGGAGAAGCCGCTGCTCTCGGCTTCATCTCCGCCAAACACCAGCGCTCGCAGATTCGTATTGACCGCGTAGTGTCTATCCCCGGACATTGCTGGAACTGCGACGGCCGTTTGAGCCCCCTGACTATCCGCACCCTTCCGACTGCTTGTGGCAGCCGCGGAAGCATTTTCCGTTTTCTGTTCACGTTCAGCGTCCTCCTTCATTAATGAATCGATATTTCTCTCTCCCTTGGACTCTTCTCCCGAATGTGTGGCTGCGAATGAGCTCTCGTCCGATTCCGAGGAGAACTCTGATGCAGCTTCACCGGATGTGGTGGGTAGTTCAATCGACGCACCACCGGCAACTTCCAGCGGCGTTGCGCTCGTTGGATTGTCGTCCTTTTGGCTGTAAATACTCGATTCTTCATCCGACACGGAGCTATCAGAATCCGTGGCAGATTCCGCCTCAGATTTCGAGTCAGACCCAGAATCCGAATCCGGCTCTTCTTCGTTTGGTTCTGCAAACTCCCCGTTCCAGTTCTGCAATGGAGTAGTAGAAACCGTTTTCACCTCTTCCACGTGAGACGATTCGCTGCCGCTATTGATGGTCAAAGAGGACCTCCGCAATGTGACCTCCAGTCTGACGCCATCTACTTCTGTCTCCGCTATGGTCGGCCCACCGGCATTGACTCGGTCCGGTTCCGCAACTCCACTGCTCGGTTCGGAGCCATCGTCGTCGTCCGAATCATCGTCTGAGGTCAGAACATATGCTCCTCCAACCGGTTCGTCATCGTCCTCGAAACTGATTACATTCCGTGCGGGTTCTGCATTCTCCTCGGTACTCGGGACGTTCGCTTGAGTTCCGTTCACACTCGCAACATTTCCAGCAACCCCTGGCGTCTTCGTCTCGCCACTGTCACTGTCACTGTCACTATCACTATCACTGCTGTCTCCTTCGTCTTCGAAGGACGCGACTTTGCTAGAATTTGTCTGGGCAGTGACCTTTGGCTCTACGACTGTCAACTCTGCCAACTGTAACAACCGCAAGCGCTCGTTCGACAGTTTTTGTTCAGCTTCCATCTCATCCAGCGTCCTCTTTTTGCGGATCGGTGCAGGTTGAGGCGCGGACGTGGGAGGGGCAAAGTCGTCATCGTCGTCGTCCGAGAACCTATGCGGTAGTGAGACTCGCGATTCTGAGGTGTTCCCCCCCTGGGGTACAATTTCAAAGTCATCATCGTCCAAGGTTGGGTCGCTGTCGACAACCATTGGCGAGGTGCCCACATCCTCTTCGTCCACTAACGGTGTCTTTTGCTCTATGTCCATCAACTCCGGCTCGTCAAACAGATCTGGTGTCTCATCCGAGTCATCTCCCGATTCCGAGGTGTAGTCCGACTCTCGTCTGGGGTTTGGACCTTCTTCATCGTCTGTGTCGTCGAATAGCCCCCCAGTCACTTCTTCCGTCACTTCTATTGGCGCCATCGTCCCATCGACCAAAACACTGGATGTTGGTCGATTCGCTTTGGCTGGGGCCACAATATTGTCGGACGGCCATGTAAGGCGAACCACAGGTGTGAATTGAGCGTAGCTTTCTGGCCTCGTGATGTTGTTTTTATGTCGTAGAGGGTCAATGGTGACAAGCTGAATGATATGCGCTTCATTTAGTATGTGAGACGTGACTTTCCCGTCATCGAGTAACGATCGTACCTTTCCGGTGGCTCTATTCCTATACCGAAACACCGAGACACCACGCCCAAAGCGAGACAACCTCCAGTTCTTTTTGTTCTTGCAGTTTCTATCTGTCACGAGCGTCATATCTGCGGCATGGTCTACAGCTCTCTTCTTCCGCTTTTTGTTACTGATTGTCGGCGTTCTCCCGTCTTTGCGGGAGTCTTCTTGCGCCTGAATCTCCGCCCACTCTCTTTTCAGCTTTGTCATATAATCCTGCTTTGCTTCTTCGACGTGGAGTTGCATTCCCTTCCATTTTGAGCCGTTGTAAATGGACTGACCTGTCATGAAGAGTGAGAACGGAGTATAGAGCGCCTCGAAGACACAAGAAGCTTACATTTTGCTATGGAAGAGGGCTTTCCCTCTATGGTAACGTATCCAAAACCTCTGCATCCTCCTAAAGGACCGCCTCCGGCCAAATCGACGGAGACGACCTTACCAAAAGTGGCGAACCGACCACCAAGGTCCTTCTTGTCAATGTCCTCCCGAAGTCCTGACACATACAGTCGTTTCACCGTCACAGCGTCTGAGGCAGTAGCCTCCGACGCGGCTGCAGGTGAAGCAGGGTTGGCTGTAATGGTTCCAGCCATGTTTGCCGTTTTCCAAGAACCTCCGGGAGAATATTTGGACACTGATTTGGACAGGTTTGAACTTTTGGAGAAAACAAGAACAAACGCGCTCGCCCAAACCTGCGTATAAACGACCTTCGCACTCTTCGCATCATTCAACTTCAAAAGGACCAGAAACACCGGCTGCTGCTGCAGATACACCACATAGGAAAAGGACAGCGTCGCAGTGGTTAGACGACGCTTGTCTGTGCGCTACATACTTCCAGTTCGTTGCATGTTTGTTCGAGCGTGCTTCCAAGCCCTCCATAGGTCTTTTGCGGCGACCTTCTCCGCCCGATATCGGCCTATTTCCTTTCAGCAGATCGTCAACAGGTGTCTTATATCTTCAGTATTGCGCTCCCGCCAGACTCAAAGTATGGCTGGCCCAAAGGACCCTGATGCGGAGAGCAGCAACAGTCAAATAGGACCGCAAGATATTGAAGACGCACCGCCATGGAAGGCGATTCATGACGAAGCCGTAGAGGTACTCAAAACATTACATAGTGCACAAACGAAGAGCTGAGCGAGACCCACCGACAATCCTGGAGGTTCGGCTCGAGGGATCGTGTATTGACCGTATCCCACATATCATATATGTCGATAATTAAACTTAGGCTGGGAAGGACACGTACAAAGACCCAGGGACTGGGTATTCGGTTTTTACGGAGCTGGTGGGTGGATTGTAGAGTTGGAGATAATCTACTTGTTACCTTGAGGAGGCAGATGAACGAATAACTCATTTTCGTTGTTTGTGGAAAAGTCCCATAAGAAGCGGGGATATTGCTGGTAAGTGGATACCCACGACCCTCAGCGATATCTGTGCCTAACTAGTTTCTTTGTGCAGCGGAAATGCTTGCAGGTGGGTCTTCCAGCTGCGGGACTGCGAAGTTCACAGAATCTGACTAATAGCTTCCATTTCCGATGTAGACACTGTCCATTTGATCGAGAGAATGTAGGGAAGCCAGAGAAGATACGAGAACAAGCCGCTGCAATGCGGAAGTTACGAAAAGCACGTAGATCGTCATCAGATGGGTCGGACAGCTCCGAATAGCCTCATTGGGGATAGAGGGCGACTGTTGTGACTACTCGGATAGGTACTCGGGTGGCGGATACTGCCCAACTAGACATGGTAGATCGCAGCAGTTGTTTCAGCAAGGCATTAGACGCTGATGATCTTAGACCTTTAAGCAAATACATCATGCTAGAGAAGCTAAACTATCTACATGCACATATTGAATTACGGGATATGGCCCGTCTGTGCTTTTCTGAAGGATACCGCCTGAATGATACCGCTTAACGACGCCGTAGAGTGCATTCTGATCAAGCGAATCCGAAACCTGGATAAAGCAGCTAAAGTGTTAGAACCCTCATCTTCAAAAAGGTACGGAACGGACTGAACACGTACCAGTGCCACCTTCCGATATTGCTAGTAGCAAACTTGCGCGAAGTTGGTCATATGTTTCGTACGCAGGGAGGTCCAATTGGTTAAAACTGAAATGAATGCAGTTAGTCTAATGGACCATAGCGGTTGCCAAGAAAACCCTTACTTACCAGGTGTGGGCGCTGGGTAATCGATCGGAAGAGGCGAAGTCCTTATGTATTTGGAACTTTTGCGTTCCGCTTGACCCTTGGATTTCGGCAAACCCTTCCAGGGGCACTTTACTGGTGCCAGTGGCGAATTGCACCAGCTTGGCACGCTCCTCCTGCGAGAAACTTCGGACAGCCCGCCAGAACCACTGAACTTGTGGACTAGAAGCGGTGTAGTTTCGGTACTCGGTGTTGTTCTTCCAGTCGTCGATGTCGATGTCAGGCATGCCAGAGATCAATAGCTCCAACTCTTGCTCATTGAAGATTTTGACGAGATCTTTGGGAATGACGTCGTGGAAACCGCCAAGGAAGGCCTCGATTTGCGAGTGAATGGCAGTAACGAGACGCTGGTTCACGACGAGCTTGACGTATTCGTGCTTATTCTGCTCCGTCACAGGGATGTTACGACCATCCGGTTTGAGATCAATTGTCTGCTTCTTCCCGAACTCGTCGATCTCAGTGCTGAACGTCAGATCAAGCACGTCGGTGATGTCGTTCTGCAAAATCCACTCAAGACTTTTGTGGAACTCTGGGTCAACGGCCTCCATGTCCTTGTAGTCAACTTGGGCGCCGATCATCGATTTGTAGAATGATCTGGTAAAGTATGCATCCAATAATCTTCCATCGTAGATAGCCTTTCCAATGACGCGACCAACAAACTTGAAGTACAACAAGTGATCAGGGTTAATACCAGAGAGTCGATTAGGCTGGTAGGTGACCTTGTCCACGGCGGAGGGACGGAACAGAGCGTAGTCAGGGTTGAACATCTGACGAGCGAGAACCGAAAACCATTCCCGGGTGACTCCGCCGGCATCCACGCCTTCCTCTTCATAGAACCGTACGTTCAGCTTGCTGAACTTGATCTCATCCCCGGATCTGCCTTGCAGTTGGTGATAGGAATCTTCGAAGACGTACTGCCGCCGGACGTTAATCTGCAGACTCCCGTAGTGGTCCCGACTTGTTCGCTTATGCAGCTGCTGGTTGAAGTACGTGCGCTTGTTATCGAATTCCAGTACTTTCGGGTTTTGCACCAAAAGGCAGAAAGAGCCACTCATCAACGACGGGCTATTCCGGACCATTGTGTTCAGGATCTTCCGATGCTCTTCTGTGAAAGAAACGAAAAGCTCCTCGTTGTTTTTCGCAAGATCCGCGGATTGATGCGTAGGGACCCTGCTCAAAGCTGGTGTCTGAACCGTCGTGGCAGCAACCACTGGCTTCTTCCTCATCACATACGGCTTGGAAACGACCATGAAAGACTCGATGGCCGGAAGGAGTACAGTAGCGACATGAATGAGTGCATCTTTCTCATTGATGATGCTCAGGCAAGCTCCCAATCTCTGCCAGAGCTTCGGCAGCTGAAGGGAATCGTACATGGTTGTCAACTTGGTTTCCAAGTCGATCTCCTTGTCTTTTTCGGAGGCCACTGGCGACTCCTGCTGATCTGATTGAACGGCGGACGCCTCTCCTGTCCCTGGAGTGGCATCTGCAGCTGAAGGTGCGGGGCGAGGGGCATTCGTTGCCTGTTTCTCCTGGTGTCGCCCGTGTTTCGTGTGAATGAAGTCCATCGTCTTCAAGACTCGAAGCAACTTTGCTTGAAGGGCACCGGCATGTGAGAACTTCCCAAGAGTTGCACTCTGAACCTCAACTGCAGTGCTGGCGGATTGAAGGACGACGATCAGTTCATCGACATCGGGGATCATAGCATCGCCGAGACCCTGAGCGACCGAGGTGAGCTCGCGCGTGATGATCTCACGGTTGTTTGCTAAGGAACATAGATGTTGGACCACAGACAGTGTGTATTGGAATGTTTTGCCAGAGCATACTGCGGTCGTGAGGACTTTGACTACAGCTGACACGTACTGCTCCGGTATGGAGGGTGGCTTGAATTCTGTGACACTGCTGTTGGTAGGCTTCTTCGGTGTTTGGGTTGGCCGTTGTGCTTCAACTCGAACAATAGGTTCCTCTGGAGGAGGGGCCGTTGAAGAACTAGCTGGAACTGAACTGACATCCTGAAGAACAGTCGGCGATGTGCTGTCCGTGGCTTTTTGTTCAGCTCTCGCTTCCTTCGCCTTTTGCGTCATGATGGTCGACAAGCGCAGAATGATGGATATGATATGCATAAGCTGTTCGATCAACTCAGCGCTGTTCAAAAACGTCGGTCGTTGCAAAAGGCTGAGGAGGACGACTACGGGATATCTGTTGTCGGTGACCTTCTCTTTGCCCTTGCCTTTTTTCGGCGTCTTGAACGGGTTGTTGGCTAGCATCTCATTCTCCACCAGGAGCAAGCGTGCCACACCCTCATTGTAGGTGACCATCTGGGTGAGGGCCTCCAAACATCGTTGCGCGACGATATTTGGACCGTTTTCTCCCTGGGTTCCCGCGGTGGTTGGCGGAGTAGGAGTAGCTGGTCCTTTCTTCGGTGTAAGGGCGAACTTCCCCTTCCCTCTGATGGACATCTGCGCGAAACTTCTATCCACAGACGCCAAGTCCGTGCTTCCCTCCACCAAAATCGACAGGAAGAGAGATATGAGATCCAATCGCGTCTTGGAGTTCTCGCAAAGATTGACAAGCGTCTTGTGAATCAGCTGTTTGCCAACGTTCTCTGGCAAGAAAAGCATACGGATCAGTGTTGTCAGAGCGGCTTTATCGAGTAAGTGGACGGCTTCGCGATGACCAGGCCGTTTGCCCGGTAGAGCGGAAGGTTGACCAGTAGCTGACAATCCAGCTGCTAAAGATCGCGCCTGCTGTGACGCTGCAAATCGGCTTCGAGCGCGATGTCCTCGGAAAGCATTGGCTTCCGCAACCAATCCTGGCGGTAAAGTGGCCAAAAAGCCGTCGTCTGATTCCTGCAGAACACTTTGTCGTAGTAAGGGATCCAATGTCGCCAAAAAGCTGGCAGGATCTATTTCCATTGGCCCAGCACTCGTAGTTGCCGCAGCTGGCTGACTAGCTCTTTCGCGCCGCTCTCGTTCTCTCCGCTCCTGCGCCAGTACCTCGTCTCGAATGTCCGCCGGTAAAGCATCTAGGAATTCTGAGCTGATGGTCGGTGGAACAGTAGTAGCTCGTTGAGAGCGCTGTTGTTCTCCGAGGTGTTGATTGATGACCTCCTGACGCAAATCGTCCGGTAGCGCCTCCAAAAAGGTTACATCGATCCCGGACCCTGCAATATATTGAGTTGAACATATCGATTTGCGATCCTTTTCCAACGGGCCAACTAACCTGTGATGTCTACTGGATTGCCATGAACAGTTACTATCACTCGTTCTGGTGGAGCAGCATTTGTGTCGATTCGTAACTCCTGGCTGGCACTTGCTTCCTGTACTTCAGGCTCGGCTGGGATATCCGGGGCCGCGGATGGGTGCGCTTCGTCTTGTACCCGACTTGCGGCGGTAGCCTCTTCTTCAGCGCGTTTCTGCCGTTCCAATTCTTCTTTCTTCAAACGCTCCTGTTCCTCCTCTTCCTTCCGCTTCCGTTCCTCCTCTTCTTTCCGCTTGGCGGCTTCTTCTTCCCGTCGCTTCTTCTCGATCTCTTCTTTCTCTTTCCTCTTTTGTGCCGCCTCCATTGCAGCTGGTTTGAGTGCCTCGACAACCGCATCCACTGCCCTGATGCCTTTGTCATTGACGGAAGTGCCGTACATCAACCGAGCTTCCTGCCACCAGCGCTCACTAGTACCTAACGGAGCGAAGCCGTGGATGACAGCAATCCTCTCCTCAAACGCTGTGCGCTGAACGCTCTGCTCTTGCGAGTTGCTACCTTCGGCCACAGGTGTCGAAACCGGTAGCGTTGCAGCTCTCCCCGGTAGTGGTAGACCTGCTACTAAGCCACCAGCGGCGATGCTACCAGTCATGTCAGGCAACCCAGGAACCTCCACCCGATATTGAGATGCAGCTCCAGTTCGAGCAAATAGCTGCTCGAGGATTTGCAGAGCGTTCCCTCCTATCATGTTGTCGAACGCTTGCCAATCAAGTACGTCACCCGCGCGAATGCTTGCAGGGCCGCGAGCGCGGTCGGTGATCCCATAGCGCGCCTCGGCTGTTGGAGCAGGAGCTTGGTTCACCAGGAGTGGATGCGTCATGATGTCTTCGTTGCCCGTTTGACGCATTCCAAGTGGTCTTCCTAACACCTGGAAATCACCTCCATCCACGTACTGGATGTTTCCGTCTTCCGGCACCCAGTGGATGTCAACACCTCCTCCCGGAGTCATATCCACTTCCATCACTTGTCTTCTGGCGATTCGCCTAGGCCGAGACCCGCGCGAATGCTGAAGAAGGCCGAATCCTCGATGTGCCAATCCCGGGCCACCCCCGACAGGAAAGAATGCAGTCTCTTCCTCCTCCCCATCGACGAATCTGTCGTCGTCGTACATGTCATCAACCATGTCCTCGTCCTCCTCCTCGGAGTCTTCGTCTTCATCGTCAATGACTTCGGGAGCGTCTCCATCAGAATCCATTTGGTCGGCTTCCTCGTGAGCTTCGTCATGACCTAAACGAGCCCGCTCAGGAGCCAGTGCGTCCATAAGATGATCGTGTTGGTGGGCATCACTATGTGCCTCTGACACTCTCCGGTCTGGGGTCAGATCATGATACTCGACATGACCGTCGTCCCAGGACATTTCGGCATCGGACTCATCGGGTTCATCCCCTTCCTCAACAATGTCGTCTTCGTTATCATCGTCGAATTCTTCATCGCCTAAGTCGTCATCCATGTCGTCGTCCATATCATCATCGTCATCTTCATCCTCATCGTCCTCTGTCGAAGGGTCTGGGTTCCCCTGGTAAGGTTGCGGCATAACAATTTCCATATCGTCGTCAACATCAGATCCCTAGGGAGAAGATTCAATATCAAGCGTGGAGTTTCCCGGGAGAGATATCCGTATCTCACCTCTTCATCGTCAAGATCTTCGTCACCAGTGAGGTCATCTTCTGAGAAGTCGTCGTAACCATCCTCATCTTCCGAGTCACCTGTGGAGCCCTCATCCATCTCGTCGTCGCTTGTGGGCGCATTGTACATCCCAAGCGCTGAGTTGCGGATCATGTCCGAAAGCTCAGTGTTAGTCTCCTCCATTGGGACGACCCCGCCAGCGCTTGCACCACCAGCATCGGCCTTGACCGTGGAACGAGCTTCCACAGTCTTGCCCAATTTGATGGCCAACTTGGTTAGCAGTTCCAACGGCTTGAGCACTGCACTAACGAGTCTCTTGCTCTCGGGATGATGTAAATCGATTTCCGCAAGGACCTGAGTCAGCAGCGTCACGAATCCTTTCTCCATCATTGCGCGAGCCAAATGGGTCGGGATGTCATCCATCTCCGGTGTTGCTGCTGCTGGCGAAGTCGTGCTTCTCGCGGGACCACGTGCCGTCAGAAGCTTGAAGCATAGGTCGCTTGCCGCGAAGAACCTCGAGTATCGCACTTGTGTAGGAACGTCGGCATGGTTAACAGCATCCTTCAGGAATCGTGCGATAACATCCAATACGCAGCGCCTGACATGCGCCAGATCTGGGTACAATTTCCGCTCTTCCGCAAGATCCGCTGTAACGCCCAAGCAGAGTCCAGAAATAACGCTGATTGTCCACTGGCTTTCCATGAAGTCCTTCTGTAGTTCAGGGGTCAGAATGGCCAAGTCAAGTGGTGATTCCGTTTGGGCTTTGATCGAATGGGGAAGGAGATCATGCAGAAGATGATTCAGGAACGGATTACGGCCTGACGATCCTTTGTGCGGTGTTCCTTTCAATCGCTTTTGAGTCGCATTGATGACGTCGATTTTACAGGTGGGATACGAAACAACGAGCTCCGACAAACATTGGAGTAAGAAGCACCGCTTTAGGTGAACGCTTTCTGGGGAGATGGACCCGTCAGTGCTGCTGGAAGCAGTCTTGTCCTCCGCATGTTTCGCGTCGCTTCCAGAACCTGACGGTAGGGTCTGCAGCGTGGGGCTCCCAGCGGAAGTATGTTTGAGAGCTAGCACTTCATTGACCAAGTACTGCACTACCGTCTCGGAAACATCCGACAAATATAGACTCTTCAATTGCTCAATGGTTGGCGCACTGGTCATCGAGGCGTTAGGGTCAACTGCTGCTGGGCCTTCGATGTCCATCGGCTGTGGCTCCGACGGTTTCTCCACGCCTTCGAGAGTGATTTCCTCCGGAGGGGAGACATCGGTTTTCTCCTCTTCTTTCGGCTTGAGGGTTATGACAGACGTCTTCGATGCAGGATCAAACCGTGGCAGGAAGCATGTATCAGCTACTGCTGATATGAAGGCCTGTAAATCGCGGCTGACTAAATGGCTGTTGTTCTTGACGAAGCTGCTGATGTCCATCATTCTTTGGCGTGGGAAATTGAACCAGTTTGCGATTTCCCTTTCCATTGTCGATTTCAAAACATTGAAGTCCTCAATGACGTGACGGAGGATCATGACAGTCATAGCAGGCTGAGCTTGGAACAAGCCGATTCGGGATTGTTCGAAAAGCAAAGGGATTCCTTCCAAGCGGGCGAATTCAACGGCCAGTCCATGGAAGCGTGTAAGTCGAACAGTCAAACGCAACACCGCATGAAGCATTTCTTTATCCACGTTCTCCAACCGCATGAGAGACACTAGTGTTGTCAACAGCTCCATCCTCTCCACCGCATTTAGCGGTCGGTGAGGACTTCCCGCAGAACTCTCCGCTGTACTTTTGCCTTTCGCGTCTGCAGGTTTCGGCTCGTCAGACAGAGAAATGTAGGATTCCAAGACGAGCAGAACAGAGGGCAACCAGGGCGAATTTGTGCCATCCGACTTGGTCATCTTCAAGAGACTGTCCAAAAGGCGAGGACACGACTCGATAGCTACTTTCTGCCAAGTGCTATCACTGACAACCAAGGCGAACAACCGTAATCGAACAGCTAAGGACTTCCCAGCGACTGAAGCAGCCTCACGGTGCTTTTCGATGTCGGTAACAAGAAGATCGATGGTCTTGGGGATGTCTGCGGCTCCAACCAAGCAGATCAATTCTTTGACTTGGAAGATGACATCCTCGACGTTGTCGAGTAACTGCAGGCATCGAATGGGAATTTCCTCTTTCAGATCGTGACGAGCCGCTTCCAAGATGTTGATATCCGGGGCTTTTCCTTTGCCTTTGTCTTCCGTAACTGCAGGCTCTGCTGGAGGATCAACCTCCATGGCGATTGCATCACCAGCACCCTCCGTCGCGGCAGCTTCACCAGATATGCTCTGTACAGGCTGCTCAATTGACATAGCCAACGCTGCAGCTAGTTCATCCAGATCTTCTGCTTCAGCGCCGCTTTCCGTGTCCATCGGAACGGCCTCGGATTGTGTCGCAGCAGCATCCGCTCCAGAATGATCGGCATTAGCACAGGCTTCGGTTGTCTGTGCTGCAATCGAAGATGACGGCGCTGCAGGTGTCTCGCTTGACCCCGCCGCTCCCGTCCCGTTGGCATTGCTTCGAGCTGAGTTGTAGGTTGCAGCAGCAACAACACTTGGATGAGTCAACAGATACTCGGCTGCCCGTGCAACATGATTTCCGCATCGAGTCAGCGCTGTTTCGGCAGCGGCCCTAGGGAAACCCATGTCCACCAACTGCTGAACCTTGTCTTCGTCAACGGCAACCGGCTGAGGCAGCCGGCTGAAAATGCTGGACGCGAGTAAGGGAAATGCTGGCGACCCGGACGCATCGGTCTTCGTGCTAGTTTCTCCTTCTCCCTTAACGATGTGCGTCACGATGATTAGAGCGCCCTTGACAATGTTGGCGGGTGCGCGGTCGAGGTAACTGCTGCGCCATACGCGAAGAACCAGTGGCGCCATTTGGGTACGGACATCCACCAGATAGTCGTGTGGATCGAAGTAGTCGGGCGATGCCTTGTCCCTTTCACGGCTGCTCAGATTGGCCGTCAGAGGCGACTCGTGAACCAGCTTTCCATTGGCGAGTGTCTGCAGAACGCTCAAAGAAATCTCGATTGCGCCGTGGATTCTCGCCAAAACTGCCTTGTCGTCTTCACTGAGGCTGTTTTGTCCAGATCCACTGAGCTCGGTAGCTCTATCCCACAAACTCTCAAACACCTCGAGGACGCATTTGGTGCCGCCCGATTTGTGGAATGCAACAACCAAGTTCGTATTCAATGCCATAGAAGTGCGTTCTGAAGGATAGATGTCAGTAAGGACACGGTTGAATCAGATGACAGCAAGGCGGGACAAGTACCCTCTACAAATAGAACCGACATGAAGCCAAGAACGACAGAAAGGTAGTTGTACTTGTTGATAGAAGTAGTGCGCATTGGACGGTCCCACATGAGGTGATCACGCAGGAGAGATGCAATACCGTCGATAACCACTTGACTCGTCTTCCGATTTGAGGACTCCGTGATACGCCGTGCGGTAAGCAACTTCAAGATGCCTTGCAACAGTGGAGTGAGTACTGTGGGAATTTGCGACAGAAGGTGCTTGAAGTATCGAGTGTTCTTGACTCTGGGGTCCTTCGAGTCCGAAACCTCCGCCGACGCCCCCTCCTCATTCGACGCAGGGACTCCAGTCGTATTGGCGTCCAAGACTGAGTCCAGCACGTCAACGTCAAGCAGTGAGCTCGCCATCGACCCGCGGGTAATGCTAGATCTTTCGTGCTTTTTCGAGGCGGACTGATACCAAGGCTTCGGCACTTTTTCTTTTAGAAGAAGATTCTCCCAAAGACATGTGCTGGAATGAGAAAAGGTATGAGAATTTACGAACCGCAGAGTCCAAAGGTATTATGGCTGTCACTCACCGATAGAGAGCTCCGAAAGCTTTGATCAATTTCGATCCAATCTCTCCGGAGAAAGTCTGAATCAATCCCGAGACGCTCTTGCTATGCGTCAAGATATGCGTGCAGTAGATGTCGGAAATGAGTCGGATGAAACCCTGCAGGATGATCAATGTGCGGAGGATCTTTTGACCCTTCTCCTTGCGATCGATGTCATCGTCTGAAGAAGCATTTTTTATCAGTCTTCTGGGCGGAAACCTATACTCGACTTCACATACCTCGAATATCAATGTAGTGGATGATGATTCCTTCATCCCCTTCGTGGTTGATGAAAGATTCAGCGTCCTTCAGTGCTTGATCAATCTCAGCATGCATATGAGTAACAACCGGCTGCGAGTTGACTTCGATCAAGACGCGGAACAGGTACGACAGCGAATACGACGACGCCGAAGAGGAGAAATCGTATGGCAAGGTCGGAAGGGTGTAGCACTTCAATAGGATCTGTACGCCGTCCATTTTGATGAAATCTTTGCAGTGCGCTACATTTTGGAAGAGCCCTTCCAAAAACTGAGAAGACGGCATGAGTATTACATGGAAGTCCGACAATGCATTGAAAGGTCTTACCCTGGCAACCAGATGAATAAATTGCGCGATGCGCGGTTCCTTCTTCTCATCTTCCGCATTGTCATCCGTCTTCGAGGCATTTGACGTCATCTTAACGGTGCGTAAGGTCGACGTTTCTTGGTCGTCGGGTGTAGCGTCCTCTCCCATCTCCACCACCCGCTTCAGCATTCCGATGATGGACGACAAGACATACTCCTTCAAGCTGGGATGGTGACGGATCAGCTCGTCCATGGAATTTCCGACAAGATGCGGGACATCATTGTCTTGTAAGGTTCGCAAGTGCTCCTCGGAAGTGAAGACCTGAAGGAACTTCTCGATCGGCTTTGCCTCGTTGAACTGATCCAATCCGGCTTGATTCAGGCATATTGCGCCAAAAGCATTTGGTAAAGCCGATATCACTTCCGCCGAAACCGGTATGTCCTTCGACACCGCATGAAGAAGAGCTTCAGGTAGTTTCGCTTCTTGCAAGATCGACAAACACGTCGGTTCATTGTGGATAAAGGTCGACATAATGTTCACAGCTGAAAGAGTGCAAAGTCAGCAAGCTAATCAGGAGCAGGTAGGTCATCGCGATGACCTCTCAAACATACCTAGACCGAAGACGCTAGCCCCAAAAAGTTTGGTTTGCTCAAATATCGTGAGCAACGAGCTGGGTAATGTGGTCTCGATCAAGTTCCGCATGCGGTCTGCGGTCCCCGACGTCTGCATCATGTGCAACACGAATTTCAACAACGCACGCAGCAAAGACGTCCGCTCGTGAGGCAAATCTGTTGTTAGAGTCCAGTGAGCATGCTTTCACAGTGATCATCTGCCAATATCGCCTTGCATCCCACCTGTGCCCGCTGGTGCGCTCTGCGCGCCTGAATCTTCGACGATACTCATCGGATCACTCGGTGCCAAGCTTATGCATATGCCGATTTCGTCCTATACAAAGATTGAGCATCCTTCACGCCGCAAGCTAACACAACACAACCCTGAACGCACTTGGATCCTTTGAACCAGATTTTCCAAGCCATTGGCTGCAGCGAATGCGGCAAATGACGGACTGAAGCCAAAGACGAGACTGTCGAGCAACAGGACGCATTTCGTGACAGACTGTGTGGTAGCAGGTAAGTTCAAATGTGAGGGACTGCGACGTTGCTAAAGATCCAACGGACCTTTATATGCTCCTGTCGAGTGTTCATCATTAACTGCACAAGAACGGGCAATATTCCCGCAGTAATAATCATGTTCCCTCCGGATTGTGTCGACGCGATGTATGCTACAAAGCCGAACAACGCATCTATGTACTCCTGCGTATAATCTGAAACTGTAATTCAAATTTAGTAAGAGCCACAAGCGGAGAACCGCGGAAGGTCGCATACCAGGTGCATCCAAGGAAGTAATAACTTTCCGGAGTACGAACATGAGAATGCCGTGGTTTGCCGACGCGTTCACAGCGGTGAGTATCTCGCTCAAGCGCGCGCGGTGGTGTGCCAAGCTATCCAATGCGTACAAAGATGCTGCTTGCAATTCCTGAACCTCAGACTACCGGGTAACATAGTCAGCCTCAGGGAACCAGATGAGAAAGCCCAAATGGTGCATACCGTTGAGCCCAGGTCCTTTTGCAACATGTCTGCCAGTCTTTGTATGAGGTCCGGTTCAAAAGTGAACAATTTGCTCTGAATCGTGTCTTCACTGCCCAGTATGACCAGCACCGCGACGGCGAGAATTCGGATAGTCAACATCTTCCGACGGCTGTGCAAGTCGCCCATGGCCATCGCCAGTCGAATCTTTTGAAGCAAAGAGAACTTATGCTCCTCAGGCACTCGATATTGCTCCGCCAATTCCATGAAGAGCTCCCGATCCGTTTTGCCCGCCCCAGCCACGTCCGGAACATTGATGACAACGAGACCATCCGTCTGCTTCTCTACCGAAGCCTCCCCTGCAGGCTTAGGCGTGCGTGGGGGCTTGAGCGCAAGCGTTGTAGCCAGCCGATTGTCCGCCGCAGCCGTGGTGTCGGTACTCGCAGCTGTTCGGTAAAATTGAAAATTCAATGCTTTGCATTCCGCCGGGATGTCGATGTCTTGCGCCAGCTGTTCGAGATCCAATCCGAGCTGCTTTGTTCCCCAATGCTGCGCCAAAACATTGATCCGTTCTTGGGCGGTGCCCAGTGTGTTTCTCAGGGATCGTTGACTTCCCAATCGCTGCGCGGGTCGGTACACCAGTTTGACGGTTGCCAACAGCACATCCAAATCTCCAGTGTAGATCAGCTCGCTGAGATGCTGATGAACCATACACATCAGAAACTCACTTCGCAAAGGATGCCAGCATGAATACGCTGAGCTCACCTCGTAAGAGTTGTATAAACTCCGGTTTGTACAATGCTTCCAGAGGCTTGTTGTAAAGTTCAATATTGCGAGTAGTAGGATTTTGTGTTCCGCCGTGAAGGGTTTGCTTTGCATATGTTTCATATCATACTGGTCATTCAGAGTTTCCAAAATCGAGTCGAACCGATTGAGAACGGGGATCCAATGATGAAAATCCGTCTTTGGAAACGGCCAGACTTCGACTTCGTTCACATGACGTGGAATATCCGCCTCAGGGGCCTCCGCGAGGGTGGAGATATACGCACTGACGGCTGCCGGCTTTGAGCAGAATTGACAAGTATTAATACACCATCCCCACAGAATATGTACGCATCACCGAAATATTACGTACCAGCGCCGCCACCCTTTTATGTGGGCTACGCTTGATGCGCGCCATGGTGTTGAACGACAAGCGCCTTCAACGACTAGATCACAAGCCTCGTTGGGTTGAATGAGTCTAAATTTTGCCAGACTTCTATGTGTATGAATACAGGCCAACCAGTATCAGTAGAGTGCTGGTCGGAAAAAGGGCCTAGAAGTAGAGAGATGCGCTGTGAGTGTATGATTTCAAATGATGACACAAGTGGGACGCCATCAGACATGATGTTCGGATTCACACGGGACATGAGCCGAAGGAGACAGAAGCCTGAGGAGAGGAAAGCCCGATGCCTACCTGGGTGCAAGTTGAGGACCGCCGACTTGTCTGGGATGAAGGTGGTAATGACAGAAACAGGGTGATCGCAGAGGCAAATGGAACCAAAATGGCAGTCGGAAGTCGAACTCTCGAGAAAGGTGCGAGAGCTGCGTTGGGTCCCAAATTTGTCACGTGACGTTTTTATTTGCGCGGACTTTCCTCTCTCCCACCCACTGGGAATTGCAAGCTCGGTGGTTACCAATTTCTGTCGCGGTGTCGAATTCGGAATTTCGGGTAAATTGACAGTTTTTGGGCGCATGTCGCGCCAAATCCTTCGGAAGTTCCTGCGAGCCCCGTCCCGCAAAAGACTACGCAGATCCCTTTGACGTTGTCAGGTTACCGTCAGTTCCATCACTCATAAGACCGTCACCGCTCTAAATCTATCAGAGACTGGTTCTTCCGCTACGATACGGATATACTGTACTTCATCATTATGACGGCTCCCTTGTAAATTTTCAACGTAACGCGAACCGTGTTACAGTGGATTAACTCGGCCATTTTTTTCGCGTCAATCGGCGGACTGACAGCCTGACAGGAATCCCTCTTGGCATCCCTCACAAATCCTCAGCCTTCGATGAATGCATCATGACGTTGGACCAGCTTGAGCCAAAACGGTTCAACACTAGTAGTCATAAGGGTAGACCTGAGGTGTTGATGCGCCGTCCCGAAGCCCTTTGTCAGCATCCCATCCTTATAAAAAGGCAGCTCTTCGAGCAGTCCTCCCATTTCAATTTCCTTTATCAAGCCTAATAACCCGCCCGCGAGCCTTCATATACTTCCCTTGAAACCAACACATCAATACAAAACTCATCAGAATGAAGTTCTCCGTGATCTCGAGCGCACTGGCCTGCACCGCTGCGTGCGCCATTTCAGCGCTGGCGGCACCGACCATCAACAAGGCTGACTTCGACAGATTGAACGTAAGCGTCTGGCAGCCATCGGAACCTGTTCAGCATCCTTGATCTAACATCCCATTTCGTTCCTAGCTCGGTTTGAACTTCGAGCTCCTGGAGCTGGAACTCTTCAATCTTGGGATTGACATCTTTGTCCCCAAAGAGTGGGAGGACGCAGGCTACGGCGCGAGTTTTGTGGATGATCTTAAGGTACGTGCTCGCCTCAAATACCATTCCGGTAGCTGTCATCATCCGCAACGAGTCTCACCGTAATCCCACCATCCTATAGTTTATGCGCGACCAGGAAGTTCAGCATGCCGCGGTTTTGCAACAAATTCTGAAAGGAAAGGGCGCCAAGCCATGCGAGTATCAGTTTCCCAAGTTTGAAACTGTCGACGAGTTCCTGAACTTTTCGAGCATCGTTACCAGGTATCTACGCGAGCCTTCTCAAGGGTGTAAGACTTTCTCTAACCTTTATTATTAAGTGTTGGAGAGGCAGGCTACTTGGGCTTCACATTCCAGCTGAACAACAGGAGTTCCATCCTGACGTCAAACCAAATCTTCACCACGGAGGCTCGACAAAATGCCCGGTTCCGTAGTGCTCGCAAGCTCAACGTAAGTTCAATTATTCTCCTGACGCGATGAACCTGCAACACATGCTGACAGCACTTTGCACAGTCCCTGAACGCAAACTTCGACACGCCTTTGACCGAGTCGCAATCTTATACCCTCAATGCGCCCTACATCAAGAAGTGTCCCGACACCAACCCCCCCATCCCATACACCGTTTTTCCCCAACTCAACGCCACAATCAGCAAGGACCAAAAGAGCGTGACATTCTACTGGGACAAGAAAGAGGAGAAGAAGGATCAACAGGTCCACGTCGCCTGGGTCAACCAACTCGCCGTCACCTTTACCGACTTGAAGGAAGACGGCAGCGCGGACATTCCCGACGGCGTTATTGGCAACACGTTCGGAATCATTACATCAAAGGCGCGCACCGACAAGAAGGGACCCTTCGTGCGTGACAGCGATGTCATTGCTGGTCCCGTTGCCCTTCCCCTGAGAACGCTCAGGAACCAGTCTGATAAAGACGATTGATTTTGATACTGTTTCATAGGACGGTTTCATAGGACGCTTTTTTCTCCCTCACTTGCATTTGCCTGTTTTGTGTCTAAAGTTCATAATGTCATATGGTGTATGTAAAGTTTCCAAGTACAAATCGTCATCGAGATGAGTTCACTATTGTGTTGCACAGCGGAGTACCCCATTCGCCAGTTTGTCAGGCGCGTTCGCTGGCGATTTGCGGAGTGTACAATAGGGCGTTTCACTAGCCCCCAATAATCGAAAACAGTAACGGCAGATAATCGCGAGATTAGCGAAACTGCGAGCGCGTTTCGCGACGCGTCCAGAGTTCGTGCGCGCAGGCTCCCCCCAATCACGTCCCGATGATCTGTCGGGCTTCTCCCGATTTTCTGGGGCTAGTGAGGCCCCCGTTCCCCAGTTCCGCTACTCCAGGGTGTAGAAAAACAGGATTCTCCGGGGGAGAGCAGCAAAAAGGCCTCCAGCGAACCTGGGGTCTTCAGGACCCTGGGGGTGTTCCGCCTACATGCCCGCACCAACAACGAACCCCCCTCACCGTACACCCCCCCATCGCCCCCGACACCATGTCGTCTGCTGACGCTGGACCCTCTACTGCCGGGGCTCCCGGGGCCCGCAAGCCCCGGGTAAAGAAGCCAAGCGCAAAGTCCGCTGCGGGGAAGCAGCGGGCGGACGGTGCATACGCTTTTTGGGACGACAAAGAAGAGGCGCTCTTGGTGGATTGGCTCTCTACGGGCGAGAACTCCAAGGCCCTGCAGCATCGCGACACCCCGGACGCCAATGGGGTCAACCGCTCGAAGAAGGATAGGCGAACGGACGTGATTCGGAAGATAAAAATGTTCATGTATGAGAACCGAAAGGACATGACCGAGACTCGCATCAAGAACAAGCTTGCACAGTGGGATAAGAAGTTCAAGGGGGCCCAGTTTCGATTCAATCAGACGGGGGAGGGTCTCACGGAGGAGGAGAAGAGGAATACCCCCAACATACAGGCCTGTATCGTCAAGATCTTCGGGTATTTCTTTGAGCTCGAGCCTTATTGGTCCCGCGCTGGCACAACGGCCCTGCACTCGGTAGGGTCTCAGGAGTCAATGGCCGCCTCGTCAATCTTGCCCTCGAACCTTGCCGCCGCGCTGGTCCCAGGGGCCGCGCCACAGTCACCTTTGCTTTGTGAGTCGCCGGACGAGGCCGGGACGCCGGAGGACTCGGAAACCGCGTGGTCCCATGAAACGCCGCAGGACACGCAGTCCGAGACGCAGAACCCGTCGGAGACGCCGCCAGAGACGCCGCCAGACACGCAGGAGCAGCTGGGGTCGCAGCTTCACTTCCAACTGGGAGATTTTGCGCGTATGGAGTTGCAAACGGCCCTGGAGGACATACTGGAGGGGTCCGCGGCCAGCGATGGGGAGTCCCCAACCAATGGGGGGCCGTCTAGCGGTTTGCAGAGTCATGATACACCCGCTCCTCCTTGTTATGGACGACGCGCCCATACCATAAGCTTACCTACTGACAGCCGCCAATGTCAACCGCCAAATGTCAAACGCCAATGTCAATGTCGATGTCAGTGTCAATGTCAGTGTCAATGTCAATGTCAATGCCACTCCCCCTCTCTCCTCTCATTTCGCCAATCCTCTTGCAATATCGCCACTCCTCCTCTCTCCTCTCATTTCGCCAATCCCCCCTCGGCTTCTCCACACCCCCCACTGCTTCCCCATAGCCAGCAGCTGTAGCAATGCTCTCTACGCTCGCCACGCACGCTCTAGGAGCATAGCTGGCGCCCCCCAGTCCCCTCTTGTTGTTGTTGTTCTCTGATCTGCTGGGTTGCCTATCTATAAATAGCCGGCCTCTCTTCGTCCATTCCCTTCCTCCCCAGCAGATCAACACCAGTTCTTCTCATCCCCTGGTCTAGTCCTTGTTTCTTGTTTCGCCAATACAATCTCTTGTCGCCTATCACACTCGGCCTGTCTTCTCTACTTCGCTTCCGCCCCGTCGTCGAGATCATAACACTCCTGTTCCGGTGGTCCCCGCTACCCCCGTCGTGCCTGCCACGGCATCCGGGGGGCAGGCCTCTGGCGCGCAACCCCTCTCCAGCGCTCGTAAGGCCCTGTACCAGGTGCGAACTAGTCTGTCTACCGCCGCTAGCCCGGCAGCGTCCACCCCGCACACGCCCGCGCAGGCGACTACGAAAGCCACTAGGAAGCGAAAGAGCTCCGCCGTATTGGATCTCGCGGACCCCGTTACGTCGGATGACGAGGCCGGGAAGAGCGGGGCAGGTAGTAGTCGCAGCCCCCGGGCGAAATCCGGGATGATGACTGTCGTCAGTGATGTGATGGCGGGCCGGGGAGACCGAACTCGCCTCAAAATGGATATGCAGGAGCGCTGCATGGCAAGGGAATCTGCGCTGGATGAGCAGATACTTGAAGAGAGGCGGTTGGCCAGAGAGGAGGCCAGTCAACGCTTTCAGTTGGAGCTTGAGGAGCGCCGAGAGGCGAGGGAGGCGGAGCTCGAGGAGCGGCGGTTTGCCAGGGAGTCCGCGGAGCGACAATTCCAGCTGGAGCTTGAGGAACGGCGCGCGGACGCCAAGAGACGCAGGCTGGACAGCGAGCGCAAATGGGATTTCAAGATGAAGGCCCTCGAGATGAAGGCCAGGCTGCGGGACACCAAACACACCGCGCAGTAGGCTGGTTTGACGAGCGCGTCCCCCCCCCCCCCCCCCCCCTCCGCACCTCTACCTCTGGCGACGTGGGCCCCGTACTCCCGCCTATACCATGCATGGATTTAAAGGTGTTCCATGGTAACTCGCATATGTCAGAAATATGATGCCTGTTGACTCTATGTCCCCCCGGGACCAGCTCGGCCCGTCCCTCTAACCTGCTCCCCCCGCCCCTGCGTGGTGGGCGTCTCCCACGCGTCCCAGCGGTAGGGCTCGCCGGTCCCCCCACACCCCACTACCCCCACATGTTTCAGCCCGCGCGTGCACCCCACACCGTCCGGTGCTCGCTCCTCCGCGGTCTACATCCACCCATAAAAGTTGGGGTGGGCACGCCTCTAAGCCCCCTCTATGTCCAAGCAACTCGCCACGACGGGCGGAGACTTGACTCCGCCGCCCCTGTCATGTTATGAATGGGCGGAGCCGATGGAAATAGAGGCGACTTGTGGTGCAGGTTGTTGACAGGTAATGGTATTCAGACCGAAACAAGAACTAGAACAAGACTAGGAAGAACTGGTGTTGATCTGCTGGGGGATCAGGAAGTGGGGAGCTCAGGGGAGGCGGCTATTTATGTTTTTCTGGGAAGGCTGTGGGCGAGTACGTGGGGAAGTATGGAAACAGAAGACTGGGGATGGGGTGGCTACGCTGAGGCTGTGGGCGGGTACGTGGGGAAGTATGGAGAAGGGTTTGTAAGCGCCGAGTGTTGGGAGGTGTGGCTACGTGCGGCTGCGTGGAGAAATGAAGGCAGTGGCAGGTGTGGGGTAGCGCGGCTGCGTGCGGCTGCGAGGTTTGGCAGATGTCAGGTTTTGACAGTGAATTGACATTGACTGACTGTTGGGATGCTGTCATGAGGTAAGCGCATGGTATGGACGCGTCGTCCATAACATCACCCCCTCCTTGAGCCACGGCGTCCGGATGTTGTTTTGATGTTGGCAGGCTTTGGTCGGGGTTTGTCGGGGTACTTTTGGTGGAACTGGGCAACAAGCTCTTGACATCGGGCAAGGTGTTCCACTGGCTCCCATGTGTTCTCCGAGCTTGGCCAACCCTGCCACTTGATGAGGTACTGAAGGTGCGTGCGTCGAATACGGGAGTCAAGAATGTCTTCCACAATCCATTCCTCCTGTCCTTCGACTTCTTCTGGTGGGGTGGGTTCTGGCTCAGTTCGCTCCGGAATGGTGAAACGTGGTTCAAGAAGGGAGACATGGAAGACGTTGTGAATTTTGTAGGATGGGGGAAGCTTGAGGCGATATGTGACCGAGTTGATCTTCTCCGTGATTGTGAAGGGGCCAATCTTACGGTGATCAAGTTTCTGGGAAGGTCGGAGAGTCTTGAGATTCCGCTGTAAGAGCCAGACACTGTCCCCGGGTTTCATGTCTGGGCCAGGTGCCCTCTTAGCATCGGCAAAGCGCTTCATGCGTCCTTGGGCCTCCTTGAGCTCAGTGGCAAGCTGTTCATGGATTTCCTTGAGATGGTTGGCACGAGCTTCGGCTGCAGGATTAAGGGATTCGGTTGTGGTGGCGGAAGCCAGACTGAATCGAGGATGGAACCCATAGTTGGCGTAGAAGGGGGTTGTCTGGGTGGCGGAGTGGATGGTGTTATTGTAAGAGAACTCAGCAGAAGACAAGAGTTCCTTCCAGTTATCTTGTTGATAGTTGCAAAAGCAGCGAAGGTATTGCTCAAGAATCTGATTGGTCCGCTCGGTTTGTCCATCGCTCTGGGGATGGAACGCCGATGAGAGGTTGACCTTGGTTCCCAGGAGAGCGAAGAGACGTTTCCAGAAGTGGGAGTTGAACTGTGGGCCACGGTCAGATACAATATCGTCGGGGAGTCCATGGAGCCGGATGACATGGTGCCAGATCAGATCTGCAGTTGACTCAGCGGTGGCAGTTTTCCTGCACGGTACAAAGTGCGCCATCTTGGTGAACCGGCAGATGACAACGAGCACAGAATCAACCCCATCACTGGCGGGTAGATCCGTGAATATATAGTCGGCAGAAACAGCATTCTTAGTTATAGCGCTTGCGGGAACAAATACAATACACCTTGCGCCACGCGCCCCTATCATTGTTATGGACGACGCGTCCATACCATGCGCTTACCTCATGACAGCATCCCAACAGTCAGTCAATGTCAATTCCCTGTCAAAACCTGACATCTGCCAAACCTCGCAGCCGCACGCAGCCGCGCTACCCCACACCTGCCACTGCCTTCATTTCTCCACGCAGCCGCACGTAGCCACACCTCCCAACACTCGGCGCTTACAAACCCTTCTCCATACTTCCCCACGTAC